AGCTTTGAATAGGCTCCAGCTAATAATGACATTTGTTAGAGCCACTTTCTCCTCAGGAGCTGAGAGGAGTCGGATTTTTCAGAGCAGTTTCTCCTCCCTGCCATACCCACGTTAACAGCTTGGAGCTAAAAGCCCCGGGGGCTTTTTCCCAAGATTCCTTAAGGAATTCATGATCCAGATGGCATCAGTAATTCTGGGCTGTACGGGAGAGGTCACCTCTCTGCAGAGAGGGATGGAGTTGTTTGTAAACAGTTAATAAAGAACGCGATGAAGGAGATAACTAATAGAAGTGGACCATCCAGTGAGGAAAAGTTTAGGTGCAGCGTTGAAGTTCTCCATCTCAACCCTCAGGTTTTATCTTTGCTTCTTGGTGAAGGAGCCCTCAAGGTACAGTACATAACAGCCAGGGGCTCTTGGAAGGAGATAGACAAACAGGTCCCACCCAAACTAAAGCTGCTAAAGGTCTGAAATCTTATCTTAACAGCACTCATCACATTTTATGTTTGGGTCACTTGTTCTGGTGGCTGGCCACACCTGAGTTTGTCTTGTTTAATCTCCAGCATCTCTGGAAAGGTTTTTTGGGAGAGGGTGACCTTAAAGAACCAGAGTAGTCAAACCTGCACTGACTGTGTTGTCCCTTTACAGCCTGGTGAGAGCAGGGGAAGTGCAGACCAGACAGTACATTTGTGCTTGCTCTGTTACCTGGTTTCTTGAGAGCAACCCAGGCAGGGGAAACCCACCATCGACTTAGCCAGCAGCACAGCAGGGACACGATCTCCTGCTGTGAGTAACCCCGACTGTCTGCAAGCAAGGGGAGAACGGCTTTATTTGGAAATTCGAGCTGAAAGGAGATTTAGTCATTCTGCTTGGTTTGGACTGAGATTTAGGCATAATGAGGGCAAAAAGGGTGCCAGTTTTGCTGTCTTTTCAGTGCTGAGCTGGAAACTACTTCCCTGTTGTCAGCAGAGAGCTTGGTATTGGCAAGGAGAAGGGAGCAGGGGCTGAGCTATCCGTGCTTGGCTCCCTGGAATAAAACTCCAGGGATGCAGAAGAAAGGGGCCTATGATTTAATCCCTTTCACTGGCCTAAGCTTGTTTCTAGGTAATATTCACTGTGTCTGGTCTGGTAGTCTCTAGCATACATTATAGCAGATGTGTTCTGGTGTTGGAATTGACCTCTCCTGTCGGTCTGACTTTGGGAATCGACCTCATCATTCCACATCTGAGCCTCACTCTTGCCTAGGTGAAATCCCACCTCTTCTTTTATGCCAAACTCTGCCAGCCAGCTGGTGGTGTTGCTGGTTGAAAAGTTCAAAGGTACCACGAGAAAGCTTGAATTATTGATGTCACTTTCCTTCCATATACCTGTAATCATCTGCTGTTGGGACTCAGCCCAGCCAGAATATGTCTCAGACTCCGCAGCTGGGAAGGCTTGCAAGGAGGCTGGAAAAGACTCTGGGCTGCATGGAGACAAGGCACAGGAGAAGGGATATGTTACCATTACATGGATGTGACCTGTAATACTGAGGATTCAACGGAATCAGGGCGGACAGTGTAGGTATGTTGCAAAAATTACTGTTTGCAGGGTGATAAAGGAAGGACTTCGAGCGATTTGTACAGGTGAATGAAAAGAGAAACTTAAGAATTAAGTTCCAAGTATGTCCCTTTAAGATTAACGATTGTACTTTTCCTCTGTGTGAGTTGGGAGAAATCCCTGTGTTTAGGGAAGACGGGACAATTCCCTACTGATCTTCAAACAGCAGGATGAGCTTTCTGCTCTTTTTATCTGTAGGTTCATGCTCTGTTTCTTAACAGCTCTGAGGATCTCTTTTTCTCTGATGTAAGTTATTTCTCCTGAAAAGGAAGAATGAAATCAAATTGTTCCTTTTTCCTGTGGTGATTTAGGTGAAGTTGGTGTAGTGAGGGGGAGCTGAAAGACTGATGAGCAGGATCTTTCACCTGCTCCAGCGTGTCCAGCAGGCAGATGGTCCAGGGCAGTTAATCAAGGCAGGTCTGATGTCAAAGGAATTGTTTATATAAGCAGTGATTCATCTTCCCCTTCCCAGTAATAACAGTGGTATTACAAACCAATCTGCTCTAAAACCCCATCTCAGAAGAATTGTGAACTCTGGTTTTTCACTTTCTAACCTAGATTCATTCTGGGGTCCTGTCCTTACAGTGACTCAAACCCAAGTCCTGTGTCTAAGCCCCCTTCAAATTTGGGCAGTGCTCCTGATCCCCTCCCCATCATCCAAGAATTGCAGCATTTTTGTTTTGTGGAAGGCTTTAGCTCTCCACACACATGACTATCCAGCAACAGCACATAAAAGCAGACTTTTATTATTTTCTCCTGCTTTTGGCACTGTGGAGAAGTTGTATCAACTTTAAGCCCCCAGGAGAACAGAATATTAACAACTATTCTGTACTGAGGATTTAGGGCCTAATTCAGCTGCCATTAATCTCAGCAACAAAAGTCTTTTTGCAGGATTTAGAGATCTAGGCCACTAATATTGGGGTATTAAGTGGGGGGGAGGAGGAGGGCTGAAATAAGGTGACCAGACACCTACGTAATTTAGAATTCTGTTTAAAGAGAGGGGTGGAAGAGGATTTGATGTTGAGAGATGAACTCTGCACTGTGCAACATATGTGTCTGAGATGCTTTAACTCTAGACCAGAGTAAAAAAGTAAGTTTAAGAGGGAACCCTAAAGACACTCTTGAGGAACCCTTGACTGCATGTCACTGCTTTCAGGGCAGCAGCTTTTTGCAGTAAGACCATGTGCCTTACACACACCAAGTGGCCTTCCTGGGCTGTGTAAATCTGAAATGTGGTTTTGCTGCCCTCCTTGGAGTGACTGAGGTGAGGCAAACTTTGATTCACTGAGTTGTTCCTTGCTGGTTTGCTCTCAGAGTACTGGAACGTATTTTTCAATGGCTCTTATAAAAATTTTATTATAATGACTTGTAAGGATGCTTGGACAAGTTTCAGTCTGCAAGCAGGTTGTTGGGTGTTCTGGAGAATGGTTGCATTTCCATCCAGCAGAGTAGGCTGCCTTCCTGAGGTGCTAAAAATTCTCACTCCTTGTCAGAATTTATAGCACCTGCAAAGATTTAAAGCTTTAAAGCTTGCTGAATTGCAATCTTGACTGTGTCCCTTTAGGGCAGGGAGATACCTGGGGATGGAAGTTTCAACAAACCTTGTCCAGAACTGTTTTGGGCTTGCAGCCTGTGTGCTGTAAAAACAAAAGTGAAGCAAAACCTGAAACAAAATAATCATTATTTCTTAAACTGCAATGTGGCCAAATCTTTGTCAACTGTAGGAAAATCGTGGACAGTTGCCTGTATATGACTTGGCCTGTGGCAACAGTCTTAATAAAAAAAAAGAAAATCAGGGTGATTTGTGACAAACTAAACCAGAGATTAACCTGGAACAGGGACAGTCAGGTGAGGTTCTGCAAACATTTGGCTCTATAGAAACTTGGTAAATTAGTGCTCAGGAGGATCTGGCCTGCCTTTGGAGCTGATCTCACAGCAAAATGCACAATGTTTCCTTTCACAGGTGAATTGAGATAAGCCCTCACATACTCCTGAGTGCTGGAGAAATGCCTCCTTCCCGACCCAAGACTCGGCAGGAAAAGGTTGGAAAAGAGAAAGTGTTGAATTGTGAGGAAAACAAAAACTCCCCAGGAGACTCCAAGATCCGCTGTGGGAGGCGGAGGGAAAGGAAGAGTAGAGGGCAAGTGAAGGGCAAAGAGTCACTGCCTGGACAAGGTGACAGCCTTGAGGAAGAGCCCTTAAAAATCCAGAGGCTGAGGAGGCTTCAGGGAAGCAAAGAAAACAGCCACAAAAAGTTATTCCAGGGAAAAAGAGCCTACAGGAGAAACGATAGAAGTGAATCTGGTTCGGGAAGAAAACATGGAGAACAGCTGATGTCCAGGTTGGAGGGGAAAAAAGTAAAGGCCTGCAAGCAACAGGAAAAGACATCAGGGCAGGACAGTGAGGACAGCAGTGACAAGGAGGGTAAATCCACCACAAACAGCAAGAAACACAGTTCTAAAAAGAAGTGTGGAAAGCGTGTTGGTGTCAGGGGGAAAGTCACTGAGTTGGGGTCTGTAAAGGCAGTTGCAGAGCAAAGTGCTGAAGGCTCTTTTCGGAAAAACAGCCCACCAGAGAAGGCACAGAACCCCAGGGGAAAGCACAATCGGGGCTTTAAGGAGGCTTCTGGGCAGAAGTCACGTCCTCAATCCCAAGGCAGAACAGCACAGGCACAAGGTGAGAGGACTGGGAAAAAGAAAGTTGAGAAACATGCCAGGATTGTCATCACTGAAAGTGAAGAAGAAAATTTCCTGGAAACCTCGGGTGACTCCAGCTCTGCCTCCAGCAGTGAAGGCCATGGGACCCAAGAAATGGGTACAAAAGAGACTGTAGTGGGCAGCACTTCCAGCAGTGAAGAGAAGAGCAGCTCTTCAGAAGAGAAGAGCAGTTCAGAAGAGAAGGGCAGTTCAGAAGAGAAGGGCAGTTCAGAAGAGACAAGCAGTTCAGAAGAGAGGAGCAGTTCAGAAGAGAGGAGCAGTTCAGCAGAGGAAGATGGCAACAGCGAGAAAGAAGCTGTGCTCGAAGGTCCTCCTGTGACTGAAGGCAAAGGATACAAGGAAGTAGTTGATGAAAGTAATGAAGCATCTATTGGACCTGAAAGGGAGCAGGAAACCACAGATGGGAACATTGCATCTGAGGATGAAGGCACTGAATGTGCAGGACTGGAAGCAGAGGAGAAGATGAAGGAGCAAGATGACATGCTGTCACAACCAAAATGTATTCTAGCTGAGAGCAGTGGGGCAGATGATGAGGTAAACATTTCAGAATTCCAAGTTAAGAGTCTTAAGAACAGAGAAAATAATCAAGTAGACAAGGAAAATATACTGGAAAATGACAGAGTTCAAGGTATGTCAAAAGAGGGACATACAAATTCTGACAGCGCTGGGGAGAACAGAACTGAAGAGACCATGGATGAAGGAAAGGAAAATGCAACAAAACCCCTGCCAAGTGCTGTGAAAGCAGAACTCCACGATGGCCTTAGCAAAGTACTGCAAGGATCTGAACAGGAGGAGGTGGTGAACAACAAAGGCAGTGTGCTGGAAGACAGCCCTGTGCTCTCCAAACAGCAGAGGACTTTGAAGGAGAAGTCTGGGAGGGGTGAGATCACAGAACAAGGTGAAGAGGTAGCACATGGACAGAGGGACAGTTCATCAGACTGCAGCAAGCAGGAACTGGCAGTGATGATGCTCACAGAGAAAAGTTCTCAATCCCAAATGCCTCTCAGTCTGAAAAAGAAGCATAAAACTGCTGAGACCAAACTGTTACCAAGCTGTAATCCAAATCCTGTCCAAATGGCTTTGGGGACCAACCCAGACCTGAAAAATGTTGAAAGCATCTGTTCAAAACCCATGACTCCAGAAACCCTCAGTAAACAAAAAGAACCTGACATAGCTCAAAGTTTTGGGGAGAAAAGATTAAATACTTCAAGCTGCTCCATGATTGTAAAAAAATCATCTGATAAGCAGCTCCTTGGAAAGAAGAAGAAAGTTGGAAAAGTTACTGGAAAAGTTAAACTGAGTTCAGGCCAGGCTTCAGAGGCAAAAGAAGAGAAAGCAGAAGAAGTGCTTGCAGAGGCACCTTCTGAAACAGAACATGGGCATGGCTGGAAAGGATCCAAGCACTTGCACACCCATTCTACTTTTAAAAAAGTCACCAGCTGGCTTGGGCAAAAACCTGCCAAGAAAGCGAGGCTGAAAGCTCGTCTGCTGAGCGTGGCACGCGCAATTGGTATTTCGAGATGGCTCTTGAAGAAATTTGGGAAGAGGAAGAAGAGCAGCAAACCTTTTGGATTCAGAAGTAGAATGGCAATCCGGCTTCTGAGCACTGCTGGGTGGGTTGGTCGGCCTAGCAAAGCCTTCCCTGGTGCAGCTGGACAGCTGGGGAGGGCTGAGCTGAGGGACAAAGAATCTTCTCCTCCATTGCTGGAGGGGAAAAGTGGTCCTAAAATGGCAGAGGAAGTGGGACAGGTTGATTTGACTGCTAGTGATTCCCCTCTTCATGGAAGCAGTCCCTCTCCATGCTTGGATGAGGAGAAGAGCAATGCTACTGATGCCAAGTTTGCTATAGTGTTCCCCAGAGTCCACAGCTTGGTTAAGGCTAAAAACTCCTTATCCAGGGGCTCTGGGAAGGATTGTTCCCTAGAGAAACCGAGACCTCTATCACACAGAAAATCTGTCACCCCTGAGCAACAGAGTTGCAGATTCAAATGTGACCTTCCCAGGTCTTTGGTGGGTCAAAGCCAGAGAAACAGCAAACGGGGCTTCCTTCTGCGTGGAGAGGATCCCACATGTACACCAGACTGTTGCAGTGGGGTGGATGTCACAGGAGGCTCGGCTGTGCTGCAGCCTGCAGGGCCCGTGGTCACGCCTGGCGTTCACTGGTCTGAGCAGCAGGCCCAGGGCTGTGACCCTGCAGCGTGGCTGAACTCGGAGCTGCTGCTGCCACACCTGACCATCGAGAACCTCAGCAAGTGGGCCGTCTACAAGGACCCCCAGCTGGCCAGCAGCCGGGTGGGGAAGGTCTTCAAGGAGCAGTGGGAGGCAGAAGACGCCACTGACAATGTGCCAGAGATGGAGTTCCTGCAGAAACAGGTACAGGTGGTGTCTCCGGTGCTGGAATGAAGCTGAACCTCTCCTGATTGGCAGTAATGTGTCTGTGCATTTCAGGTGTACAGGTGTGAAGATCTCTGTGCAGAAATTGAGGAGATTGAAGACCTAACCAGACTGGAGTATGTGTCCTCAGCAGCATTCTGCAGCTAGTTCAGGTCACGGGGGGTTTGATTGTTATCCTTCAAAGTTGGCTCAACAATAAAAAGCACATTTATAGATCTTGGGAGGAAACAGAATTAATTTGATGCATGTCATAGCTGAGTAAGGTTACTATTAACACATGCAAGTGAAGTTTATAGCTGACCAGTCCTTTCTTCTATTTGTAGGGAAGTCTGTGAGAGCTCAGTCCTGCTGTGCCTGAAGAAGAGGTTCCACCGCAATCTCATTTATGTATGAGACAAACTGTGGGTGGTGGTGTTTGGTTTGGGTTTGTTTTCTTCAGTGATTATTCATTCTGAGCCACGAGCTTTTAGAGAAAATGATTGATATGATTCCATCAAGCTCTAATAGTGCACCAGTAGCTCAAGAGCTCGGTCATTACAGTGATAAAAAGGATACTCACACAGCTTTTGCTCAGAAGGCAGATAACATGAAATACTGGGGGTAAAATCAGAAAGTTTCAGAGCTTCTCTGTAATTTTGCTGTTCATTGGCATCCTGTGAGCATACTTGGGCTCCATTTCAGCCTCAGCTGCTGCTCGTGGGATTCTCCTATCTTAGCAAAGCAGTTCTGAGAAGAAACCTCTGAGTTTCTGCAAACATTTCAAAGTGTTGCAGTCCAGATCTAGTTCTGGATGGCTAATTGTTCTTTTTTTCTTTTTTTCTCATTTACTGGCTCAGGTGTTCAAGCCTGTGCCTGTAATTTCACGTGGAGCTTGGAGAATAGACAGTGGCCAGAGAAGATGACAACAGACCAATGAGTGCTCACTTATCCCAGATTATTAATGACAGGGCTTTGAAAATGACTCTGAAAAGCTGTGCCCTGGATAAGATGACAGTATAGTCAGAATAGACAGTATTCTTTTAAAGGGCATTTAAATCTTTGTACTAATATATGTGTTCAGTTGCCTTCCTCATTCAGAAATTTCTAAGAAGCCACCAGATTTTTTTTCCCCCCTTTCTTATTTTTGTCCTAGACTTACATTGGGCAAATTTTGGTTTCTGTGAATCCTTTCAAAGACCTCAGTATCTACTCTGAAGATGTGGCTGCCCAGTACCATCAGGGGACTCTCTCAAAGAATGCCCCGTACGTTCCTCTTTCTCGAGTAACTCCCCAAACCCTGTTCCATCTCTGCTCCATTTTATGTTCCTCCAGTCGTGTGCTGGAGCAGGGTGGATGTCACAGGAAGTGAACAACCCTTTTGGCAAAGCTGTAGTTATGTAGATCCCCGATGAGTAACCTCTGGGTGCTGCGTTTGTGAGGCAGAAACGTGAGGTCGGTTAATGGGGCGTTTGTTTCTGTCTGTTCAGGCACATCTTTGCCATAGCAGAAATGGCCTACACGCTGTCCCAGTCGTCAGGGCAGGAGCAGTGTGTCATCATCAGGTAGGAAATGAGGTGCTTTCCTGAAGGCCTGTTGGTTTCTTTATGTAAAACTTTCACCTTTGTAAGTTGGTCGTTCTGGCTCTTGTGTGAGTGCTCTCAGAAGAGAACCTGAACAAGGTGGGTTTTTATTTCACTCTGTGCAAAAACTGTTTATATTTTCTTTCACATGGGTTCAGAGGAGTGGAAGAGAAGGCATTTGGCATTCCAGAGTGGAATCTCGTTTGGGACCACTTTGTCAAGTTGTCTCAGTGTTTCAAGCAATAGGTGACAGATCTTCTGTTGTAAATCAGTGCCACCCCACTGATCTGCTGTAACAGAGCTCTGATGTGTCTGGATCAGGTAACTCTGATACCAGCTTCTTACCTCTTGTTCCTCCAGTGGACACAGTGGATCAGGTAAAACAGAAGCTGCCAAAGCAATTGTGCAATACCTGACCCTGCTGTACCAGAGATCAGACAGCCACAGGGTCAGACAGGTAAGAGAAAACAGAGGTTGGCTGGATGCTGTGGTGGTTGGGCAAGGAAAAGAAGCCAAAGACAGGACAGAGAGTGTCCAGGCTGATGTTATTTCTTTATTCCTGTTCAGCTGACCTGGACTTTGCATGGCTTGTGGTCCAAGGTGAAGCTCCCAATAAATACATGAGGACAGCTGGTGTATTTGTAGTTCTGTATATTAATATCCTGGAGGTCTGGTGCTGTATAGAGTGGTGCATCTGTTTGAACAGAGAGATGGTACCTGCCACAGAGAGCTTATAGCAGAGTCTGGGAGGTGAATCTGAACAAACACAGAGCAGAACTAAAGTGAAAGATAATAAAAAGCTCACAGAGCACTTGCCAGTGGCTAGAGATGATGATACCAGGATACATTTAAAAAGAGATTTTTTTATCCAGACAAGAATTATATCAGTGAAGTCCCATTTTTCTTAGATTTATAAACTAATAGTTACTTAAGCCCCTCTTGGTTTAAAAACCTGTGATTGCAACTGAAGTGTCATCTCCCTCTTTTCTTCAAGCCCTGCAATGTCCTACCCATCCTGGAGAGTTTTGGAAATGCCAAAACCATCCTCAATGACAACTCAAGCCGTTTTGGAAAGCTCCTGAATGTCCACCTGCGACAGTGAGTTGAAGAAACCCCTTGGGTGCTTGTCCTTCCTTCCACTGCCAAGGGGTGCTGGGGTGAGGAAAGGTCGAGCAGTGCTTGGGGCTCAGGCAATAACCAATCCTCCCTCCCCCTCACTCTTGTTATCATCAGGGGAGGAAGAGGGTGAGTTTACACCCCTGTTTTGCCCTTAAGTTTCCTCCACAAAAGAATGGATCTTACTTCTCAAGACGAACGTTAAATTAAGAACATAAGAGTGGCCGAACTGCTTATACCAAGAAGCCACCTAATACAGTGCTGTGTCTCCAGCGTGGGCCACAAGCACTGGCTGGGGCAAGAACAGGCCAAATACGTACAGGACTTTTCTCTAACACTCCTTGAGCTCTTGACCATTTGCAGCAGCCCAGGAGTTTTCCCGAGGTTTTCCAGTTTCCTCTTGGACTCGCACAAACTTCATGCATCTGCAACAGCCTTTGACAGGAGTTCCACAGGTCTAACCAGTCCTGTGAAAAACACCTTTCTGTTTTTGAACCTATCTCCTTTCCAACCTCTGGGTTTGGTTTGTTTGCTTGGGTTGTTTTCTGGCTGTTGCCAAGCACTGAGCTGATTCTCTCCTGTGACTGTCTGCCACAACCCTCAGGACTCAGTCCTAAGGAGCAGTGGTTAATTTGGGGCTGTGAGTTTACATGTGAAGCTGGGGCTGCATCCATCACTTTACATTTATCTACAGTGGATTTCACGTGCCATTTTCTTGCCCACTCACTCTGTACTGTAAGGTCTGCCTGCATTCATTGACAGTTGGCTTTTATCTTCACTGCCTTGAACCATTTCGTACAAACAGGAAGCTTTGTCACATTGTTGGTCAGCTCCTCTCTCAGGTCATTTATCAAACCCTCAGTTACACTCACTGGTCAGGCACAGACACTTTGTGGAATTCTAATGGTTGCTTCACAATGTTAAGAGGAATCACCTTTACTCCCGTGTCACGACTTTCCCTCTTATGCTGTGGTTGCTTGGTTTCCCTGGAAGTCTCACAACTTTGTTGAAATATTTTGGGAATTCATGTAGACTGCACCCCTTAGATCATTCTTATCTACAGAGACAGTGATCTGCAGAAAACCTGTTCCTAGCCTCTGACAGGATCTGTTGGTGTCTTATGCTCAGTGGTGTCGTGGTAGGAACATCCATCTCCCAGTACCTGCTGGAGAAGTCTCGAGTGGTATTTCAGGTGAGGACCAGTGGCTCCCTCTCTCCCTTATTCATATTTATTCTTAAACTTACTGTTGAGTAACAGGAATGGGAATAAGTGTGAGAATTGCCTCCCATTTCAAGAGAACAAGAAATATGTCCCCTCTGTGCAACACAGGATGACTACTTATTTTATGTGAATAAAATAGAAGGTCTCTCTGTCTCAGGTTGAATTAAGCCATTTATTAGGGATTACTGAGAGTTAAATCTTTCCTCAAGTCATTTTTCTTTATCTCTGGAGTGTGGAAAAGATCAAATATTGGAGCTGGGTGAAAAGGACTGTCCTTTGATGGAATGCTCTTAAGGTGCCAATGAGAAAACCTGGAAACTTTTCAGATTAAATGGATCTGGTCTTGTCTTGCTGACTTCAGTCTGTGTTCTGCTCCTTGAGTATATTCTGTAGGGGTCTGGAGCTGGACATCAGTCAACTCTGTGTCCCCTGTCAGGCCCACGGGGAGAGGAACTACCACGTGTTTTATGAGCTGCTGGCTGGGCTGCCCATGGAGCAGAAGGAGGAGATGTACTTGCAAGAGGCAGAGTCTTACTTTTACCTGAATCAGGTGAGTGAGCTGAGGGTGCTCTGCAGCAGCTGATGCAGTGAAATAGCCAAGACATCGCTTCTGGTTTAGTGACACACTCGCTAACTTTACTTCCCTGCTAATGTGTCCTTCACAGGACATGCTAAAACTCTGCTCTGTTTCTTCTCACACCTGAGCTAAGAACAATACCTTTGTCTCTTCGGTGATTCTTTTCTCACCTTTCAGGCCCCTTCTGCTCCCAAAGAAAACATTTTAAAAAGGAGTCATTGTGCAAACCCGTGGCTCCACCGTGTGGTGGGAAAAAAATCCTCCTCTCCTTGCCTTCCTTTGCCTTTGCAATTTATCGTGGGACTGCAAAGAACGCGGGGTGTTTCTTTCTACCTCCTGCAAAAAATTTACTTCGTCGACCGAGTCAATGGGTGAAAATTTTAAACTACTGATATGTACAGTTATCTAAGTTGGAAAATGTTTTTTTTTTATATCAAGTCATAATCTTGGAACAACTTTTGGAACAAGTTTTGGTTTTTGTCCGACTGTTTGCGTTTTGGGAGGTTGTTTGTTTCGTTTGCTTGTTTGTTGGGTTTTTTTTTTTTTGTTTTTCCATATTCGAGGAGTTCACAGAAATAGCAAGAGATCTTCCCTCTTTCAGCCGTGAGTGAGTCAGCTTTGCCAGGTGGGAGCAGCAGCTCTTCAGGGCAGCTGTGGTCGTGTGAGGAATCCTCGATGGTGATTGCTATCACCTTGCCTTCAGGGGAGGAATGGACAAGTACCAGTAATGACTCAAGGATGAAGGGCAATTAAGGGGCCCATCCCTTGATGGGTGATGTCCCTGATTGGCAAAGCTGTTGTAAACCAAACGCTTCGAGGTGATAGTTAACAGGAATGTCTCGTCGGCTGCAGAGAAGGAAAGGAAGGAAAGATCAGATTATGCACAAAGTTGGCAGAGACTGACAAAATCTCTCTTGGGTCTTGGTCTTGGCCCAGGGGCTGCCTGGACCTCATCCTTGTCTCACTGGAACCTGAGAGTAGCTGGAAACTTTGATCAAAGGATGCCCTTGTGTACACAAACAGGTTCCACAGTCCCCCCCAGCCCAGCCCAGGACTTCTGTGAACTTCAGGGTCACAGGCTGTTAGGAGTGTCCTGTAGAGATAAGCTCAAGAAGCAGAAACACGATAAGGCCGTGTTGTGGAGAAGCTCTGAGGCAGAGGTGAGACAGGCTGCAGCACAGGGTGGCTCTCTGGGTGCACAGATCCCCATTTGCCTTGACCCATTGGGTGCTGGTACAATTTGGGGTGGTGACTCTGCCATGACTCCTTTGGAGTCGATTCTGGCATCCCTTCTTCTCTCAAGCTGCACCCCAGCAGAGGGCAAGGAGTAGCTGGGGTGCTTGTACTGGAACCATTACAGAAACTTGGCATGTGAGGGCAAGAGAGATCTTACTCAAAAACTCCAGAGAGGAGAGTCTGGCCCATCACAAATGCTGAGCTCCCACTAGTGGTGCCTTTGGGCTCTTTATTTCGGATTCCTCCAGTTCCTAGAACATTGAGCTGCTCTGGAGTTTGCTGCAGGCGGCTCAGCTCCAGCCTGGGGCAAAAGGGGCCGATCACGATTATCTGTCCCTTTCTTCTCAGGGCAGAACGTGTGACATCCTGGGGAAGGAGGACAGTCAGGACTTTCTGGTCTTGGTGCAAGCTCTGGAGGGAATCTGCCTCTCAGAGGACCAGCTGAGCTCCACCTGGGCTGTCCTGGCTGCCATTCTGCAGCTGGGGAACATCTGCTTTACCTCCTGCGAGGTACCTCACAGCTTGGGAGTGGGATGTGTGTGATTAACATTGCTGTTATCCCATGTGGTGGGACCAGGGACATTATTCCTGACAGAAGACTATTCTGTTCTTTTGGTATTGGGCTCTGGACTGACCCAGGCAGGGACAGAAATGGGAGGCAAGCAAAGGTCATTAGAAGTGGAGTGGGTCTAAGAGGAGCCAGAATAAACCTGGTGTTTTACCCAGGTGTTGTGACCAGCTCTGTGCAGCTGAGGTCATGTTGAGAATATCAATATTAGTGAGACTCGTATCCCATGCACAGATGAATCTGTTTCTCTTTTATTTAGAAAGAATCCTACGAACACGCTGCCATTGCCAGTGACACTGAGATCCAGATTGTGGCCAATCTGTTGTGTGTCTCAGCAGATTTCCTGCAAAGTGCTGTCACTCACCGTGTCACTGTGAGTACCTTTTTGGTGAGTTCTTATTCATCCTGAAGCACAGGATGTCCAGTGCTCTGTCAGCAGAAGGGCCACCACCTTAGAAGGCCCAAAATCTGGGAAGTAAAAAACAGGGGAAGTAAAATGGTTGGAATGAACTGAATCCATCAAGGCAGCTCTGTAAAGACATCAGAACTCACATCCAGGAGGGCTCTTTGCTGACATGAAGTGGCTTCAGGCTTATCAGTTTGGCCAGCTGAGTCACCCTCAGAAACGAGGCAGCAAAATTCTCGGCTTACTTTTGCCTTTGATACCTGGGTAAATTCTCAGGCCAAACAGAAAAAAAACCACCTCAAATCAATCAGTTTATTAGTTGGGTTGATTTCCTTGTGGATTAAAAAAAAAAAAAAAGTATTTGTGAGTTAATAACAGTAAATTCTGGCTCTTTATGCACCCAGGTGACATCTTATGACCGGATCTTCACCCCTCTGTCTGTAGAAGGAGCCATCGATGCCAGGTGACTTCTGCTGTTGCCTGGGTTGGTGAGATGCTCCCAAGAGTCTTTGCAGTAACAGGTTCAATTGTCTTATCCCCCTCAGGGACTCCATTGCCAAAACTCTGTACTACCTGCTTTTTGAGTGGCTGCTGCTGAGGATCAACGAGTGGTTGGCTCCCTGGGAATCAGACTGTGCCGTGGGAATTGTGGACATCCATGGTTTTGAGGTTACTTTGCCTGTTCTTTTGCCATGGGCCGGGCTGTGAGTGCTCCCCAACACCTCTGAATTTTTTACTTATGACTCCTGTTAAAATCTGTGTCCCGAGGAACGATGAAAACAATGGGATATGCAGGTGGGGCTGTGCAGCCAAGAGATCTCTTCTTCTTCATGCTCTTTCACAGCTTGTCTTGCCTCTTGCTGTTCAACCAGGCTGAGAGCTTGCAAACCAGACAGAAGATGATTTGAACTTCTCAGGTTCATTCACACTGATCAGAACCAGCTGCCTGAACCAGCAGCTCAGCTCAGCACCAGCTGGGGCTGTGCAGCATTTACAGGAAGCCACAGGTCCCTGGCTGGGCTGGGTGTTGGAAAGGGTTATCCTTTTTTGCCTTTGCAGGATCTCGGGGTGAACAGCTTGGAGCAGCTCTGCATCAACTTTGCCAATGAGCACCTCCAGCAGTTTTTCAGTCAGACTGTCATTGCCCAGGAAGAGGTAAATGGAACTCGATGGAACCCCCACAACGTGTTAGGGCAGCTCATATGGAATGAGCTTGAGGCGTCCTCAGCTGGAGAGCATCCTTTAGCAGTGAATAGGAAGCTGAATAGACTTGGTCCTCTTAAGTACCCATGGAATTCCAGTCCAAAGAGCCTATTTAATATCTTTTAATAATTCTCTAGTAAATTAAGGTAAAATTAAGGGAATGAGAGTTTTTTTAGCACCTTGTTCCCTTTTGCAGATTTTATGAGTGAGTTGGTCAGGGTGAAGGATCCCAGTCTTGAGCCAGTACTTTTAAAGCCTGTTTGGCCTCTTTGTAGCTTTTTATGTACCACTTCTGTACTGGGAATGAAAGTGTATTTGTCAGATTTGTTGCCTTTTACAGTTCACTTTACCACTCTGCTTATCAGCCTTCCTCTCTTAAAGTAGGACAATCATTAGGAGCTTTAGAAGAAGTTTCACAAGACAAAACCAGATAATTCTAGGCAAGTTCCTAACAACAGTTGGACACCAGTTTTCTAATGAACAAACCAAATCTCTCTCAATTTACTCTTGTTTGCATGGCTGCATTTGGTCTCTAACATGCAGGAGGAGTACAGCCAAGAGCAGTTAGCTTGGATTCCTATTTCCAAGATGTACAGCGAGTCGTGCCTCGATTTCCTCACTGCAAAGCCCCACGGCCTCTTGTGTATCCTGAATGACCAGACATCACTGACTCAGGTGAGAAGCTGTTGGCCTCTCATATGATCCCTTTCACAGGATGATTATGGGGAAGCTGTTATCCAGACTGAACAGGTGCTGTGCCTGCACCATTATTAGATGGTTTTACCTTCGGTTTAACAGCACCTTCCCAGTCCATTGAATACGTTGCAGCAACAGGGAATGTTTGTCTTCTCCTTTACAGGCCACAGACCACACTTTCCTCCAGAAGTGTCACTACCATCATGGAAACAGCCCCTGGTACACCAAGCCCAAGCTGCCCTTGCCAGTGTTCACTGTGAAGCACTACGCAGGCCCTGTCACCTACCAGGTGAGCTGGCAGGGGCTTGGAGTGTCCTGGTGAACCAGCTCCCAGTCCTGTGACCAGAACCCTTCCTTAGTAACTCCACATCCCCCTAGAGCATCAGTTTATCACAAATCAGGAGACTCTTATCGGGAGAAGCAACTAAGATGCCTCTGGGCAGAAGCAAAATAGTTATTGACCTCAGCGACACAACAGCCTGCACTGCTTGTCCCAGAGCCCTGGGAATCCAGGAAAAGCTATAGCTGTGAGAGGTCAAAGCCTGCTGGGCAATGTGAATGGAAGAGGAATAATCCCTCCTAAAAGCAGGAGTCATTGTCCCCTCAACTCTTGGTGGCAGCAGGAAGAACCAGCTTCATTCTCCAGGGCTTTCCCCTCCATCCCCCTTTCCAGCTGCGTGCCCCCAGTCAAGGTGTGTGTAGGAGGGGTGTTTGCCTGTCTGAATGGTGCATTAAACCAGACTTTGCCTCTGCAGGTCCACAAGTTTCTTAATAAAAACCGTGACCAGCTGCGTCCAGAGGTGCTGGACATCTTCTCTCAGAGCCGCCTCAAGGTACTGCAGCGGTTCAGGAGGGAGATCTCTGTTGCAGGCACCTAATGAGCCACTCATTGCTCTCACATGAGAAGCAGAAAGGCCCTGATCAGGTGTCAGGAGAGCCTGGAGAAACCATGAAGGGTTCTATTTTACTGAAGGACACTTGGGAGTTGAGCAAGTCGTCTTTGCCCATATTTGATGCACTTCATATAAAATGCACAGACTGCCTGGGGGTAGTTTCAGGTAGAAGAGATCATTCTTTCCGTGTAGTTCAGGGAATTTTGTTAATTTCTTTGTTTTTGCAGGTGGTGTCTCACATTTTCCAGAAGGCTAAAGCTGCCCACAGTCAGCAAAGGAAGCTGGGGCCGAGAGGCAAAGGGCTCAAGCCTCAGACCTCCACACTGGTGTCCAAATTCCAGCAGTCTTTGCAGGACCTCACAGCCAAGCTGAGAAGGTGAGAGATGCTGTTGCACACAGAAATGTGTGAAGCCCTCCATCGTCAGCACAGAGAGGAGGGTGATCAAAGGTTCTTCCTTCTGTTTTCCAGGAGCCATGCCTTCTTCATTCGGTGCATCACCCCTAATCCCAAAAAGGTAGGGCAGCACCCCCAGCTCCTCATGGAATACTTCAATTCCTTGAAGTTTATTCTTCTCCAACAGCTCTCCTTTCACAGCTGGGACTAGAACTTCTTTGTTTCATTTAGGATCTTGGGACTTTTCTTCCCCTTTCTCTGTCTCCCCCCCTTCCCCATGGCCATGTGAGTTAACCCTGTGCTGGAGGAGCAGAAGCCACTGCCAGTTGAACACCAAACAGTGCATTGGATTTTGTATTTCACTGCTTAGAGATCATGGCAAGATCTAAACTCAGGACAGGACAATAGAAGGAGACCCTTTCTAAACCCCCTGCCTTCTGTCTCCTTTTTTTAAAATTTTTTTCTTCAAATTTCTTGTTTTTAATTTTTCTTCTGCCTTATCATCACAGCTGTCAAATATCTTTGATGTGGAGTATGTCACTTGTCAGCTGCGACATTCTGGGATCCTGGAGGCTATCCACATCAGAAAGGAGGGATACCCCATCCGTCTTCCATTCCAGAACTTCCTGGCCAGGTACAGGGTTGGGATTCCCCAGCACTTTGGCCCTGGATGAACTTGTCAGCACGCTGTGATTTCTCTGCGGGCTCCAGTTACAGCCCTGGCTTCTGTCACATGGACACCTCATCCCCCAGGTATGGGCTGCTGGCAGGGCGAGGGCTCAGCTGCCTGGAGGACAGAGAAGGCTGTGCAGCAGTGCTGGCTCATGTGCTGGGGAGCCCCTCGGAGCTCTATCAGATTGGACTGACAAAGGTGATGCCTACAGAGAATCTCAATCCACAGGCCCAGCCACCCATCCACGGGCTGGCAAGGCACAGAGATCCCAAGGAGAGGATGTTTCAGGCCTTCCCCTCTCATGCTTTGCCTCTTGTCTCAAGTGCTAAGGAGGCATTTTTAGCATTTCAGATAAACAGGAGAATCTGGCTCCAGGCTGCTGTAGTAGCATGGACAACTCCTTGGTGCACCCAGCATTCCTTAATGGAGATCTGGGCTTCTCCCTGTGATGCCTACTGAGCTTCATCACTCCTTGATTCCCTGTCCTCCCCAAATGCATCCATCTCTACCACTGCACCTGTGCCTCCTGCTGTCCCCAGTTTCCATAACAGGAACCCTTAAAGGCTGCAAAGAGATAAACCTGCAGCTTTTATTCCTGACCAACCCTTAGAGAAGCTGCTGCTTCCCTCGTGGGTCAGCAGCTGCTGCCTTTGCCCAGGTCTTTCTGAAGGAGAAGGCCAGGCAGCTGCTGGAGCGACGATGGATGCAGAGGCAGAGCTGGGCTGTCGTTACTCTGCAGAGGAAATTCCGGTGCCTCCTTCACCGCAGACGCCTCCGTGTCCTCCAGGAGAAGGTCACAGTCATTCAGGCTCACTTCCGAGGCTACCAGGCAAGGTTAGGAGTCAAAGGCCAGGCCAGGGACATCCCTTTGGCTTTGCCCAGGACAGACAAGTGGGACTGTGCCTGGCCAGACCCCTCCTCATGTTGGCTCCTGGCCTGCTCTGTGTGTGTGTGTGTGTGTGTTGCCGATGCTTCCCCTGTTAGCAGGTTCTTCTCTTTCCTCATCCCTCTAGGAAGCGTTACAGGAGGCTGAAGAAGACTTTGGTGCAATTTAACACCATGATTTTAATCGCCAGACCTTTGGTTCAAAGGAGGAAGCGCTGCCAGGTAACAATACTCTTCTCAGGACAAGGTGTACGAAAGGAGCTATTTCTGCACCCAGCAGAGAGAGCTGATGACTGGGTGAGGCCAGGGCAGGGATGGCTTTAGAAAGCTTGTTGGAAATGATCCAGTGAGATGTCCTTCACTCTCTGACTGACATAAATGTGGTCAAATGAAGGACACACAGAGACTCGAGCCTTCTCTTCCTGGACAACATTCAGAGTTGGCAAAGTTAGTACAAACACAGCCTAGCTGTGTGTCTGGCTACGTGACCTCCTCTGGGCTGCCCCACACCAGACAAGAGCTGATTCCATCTGGGGTCTTCAGGGCTGCTCTGAGTTCTGCTCAGGCTATGAGGAGTCACTCACCTTGCTCTTTTAGTTGCCCACTTCTATTTCTGGTGTTTTCCCAGATGGTGATGAAATGCAAGAGTTTTTCAGTCCATGATGATCCCCCCCAATCCCTTAACATCAGACTGCTCAAGTCCTTGGCTTTTTGGAAATCAGATGGAGTGAGAATAGGATGTGGCAGCTTATTGGGGAAGACAGAAAGTCGTGTGCAGGAGAGAGCCATGGCTGGTCAAATGTGTAGAATGTATTTTGCAGCACAAGACATTAAAAAGAAAATTAAAAACATGAGATCAGACCATTCATGCTTAGAGCAACCACTGACATCCCCATCACTATCCCCATAACTGCCATCACTTCTGGCATGGCTAACAGAGGATGGGGAGGAGGGTAGAGGACAGTGATGGGAGGCTGCACAGGTGCTTTCTGCCATGCCATGCCCAGAACAGTGTGAGTTTCTATTCTGTTTTCTGCCCTCCTACTTGGACAGGACCCAGGCTTCTTTCTCCCAGGTAACCACAACAGCACAACTCCTTCGAATCCCTTTCTGTTACTTCACTGTTTGCTTGCTGAGCTCTCTGTACACGCAGGAGCAACAACAAAGGTCTCAAAGTTCACCTGCTGCAAAGTTCCTCCTTTCCCCCCACCCCTCAGCCCTGCCCTTTGGACTTTAGCATGTCACTGTCTTTCTCAGCCCAACCCTCATAACCTCCCATCCACTCACACTGATCTGCAACACTGACAAGCAGCAGAGAGAGAGAGGCAGAGACAGAGACCCTCCTTTTCCAGGTGAGTGACAAGGCCAGGAAACAACAGAATGGATGGGAAAGGGCAGGTTTGGCTTTTGGTATCCCTCCTACCTCTCCTGAAGGGTTTCCTCTCCGTGGATAAGTCCATCCTCCCGTGTTCAGGCTGTGCTCTCGTGCTCTCTGATGCTGGAGGAGGCAGGTGAAGGTTTCTGACAGCTCCTCTGTGCTTTTGTCCTGGGACACATCGAATGCTCAGCAAGGGAGGGAAGGTGTGGCAGGATGCTGGGCGGGTGGTGGAGGCTCTCGCTGTTAGACTGTGTTGTGCAGGGCAGGTGATGTTCCAGCAGAGCTCAGGGCTTTGCCTGTGTGGAGTCCCAGGAAGGCTCTGTAGCTGTTCTGTCATTTTATCTGCTGGAACAGGACACCACCTCCTTTCCACCCACAGCCTTTGCCCTCAGAAGTAGCTGAAAGTGACTTCAAACGCATCTTCTCCCACCCCCCATCCCCTTTTCCTCTCCTAACAGCAGGAGTTAGAGGAAAGGAAACGAAGACTGAGATCCCTGGCCAGTGGTGACACAGAGGACAGTCCCAACCAAGGAATGGTAAGTTGTCAAAAGGTTTTGGGAGACTCTGAGATAACAAGCCAGGTTATCCAGGCGTTCTGCCTTCCTCGTGCCTCCTCAGCCCAGGTGTGCTGCATATCTGGAGGGTGTACACATGTGTGCTGCAAGCCTTGCAGCAAGAATGCAGGTTAGACTGGTATAAAGAGCCTTCTAACACGTAAATATCTTATTAGTTCAGTGTTTCCCAGACCTTGGGCATAACCAGGCATCACAAAGTGGTCCTGAGGCAGAGCACTGTCTTTGTTCTGAGCACTGGACCTGTTCTTTGGAGCTGAGAGGAAGATTATTTTTTATGATCATGTTCTGTTGTGAAGGGCGGGAATGAGACCGTTTTGCATAAATACGTTTACAGAAGATGTGGTAGAGGAAGGGATGTATTAAAGGCTTTATAAGATTAGTCTGTGTTTACACTGCTAACTAATGTCACTATTTGTATGTTTAGACCAGGCACATGTTTGCTGTGAGGTGTGTAATGAGGGAACCTGAACTGACATCATCCACAATTCTGGACAGATTTGTCAGTAGCAACAGGAATACTTAGCACTGGGTACTCTTGCACACCTGCTTCCTCAGGTGTGGATCCAGGACTGTGGAATTTCACAGTCCACTTCCTGAATACCCACTGGAAAACCAGACTTAAAGACAAATATCTTCTTATGAGCAAAATCAAACTGATCAAAAAAGCTGTGAATGTGCCTTTAAGCATCACTGAGGGATTAAACAGAGAGAGATGTCAGAATGGTTTGATGGTGACAAGAGACTTGACTTTGCAGATCTTCAAAAAACCCCACAAAAAACCTCTGAAGCTCATGCTTTGTGTCTTTGGCTTGGTTTCATAGTGCCTTAATCTGAGTAGTTCTGTCTGAAATGCCCTGAACTGATGTGAGATGCAGACAGTGATGCTGACACACTGCGTTGCAGTGGCTCATTTATTCCAACCATCATGGGAAGTGCAAAACAGGGAAAAACCAAGGCTTATTTGCCATATTCTCGTCTGGATTACCCAGGCACAGATCTGAGTTTCCTTTGGAAACTCCCCAAGTGTTGTGCATCAAAGATCAGGATCAGGTCTCTGTTTATTTATGCTGTACTGCTTTTGGATATTGAAAATCAGAATTAAAAATACCAGAAAAAGGCACAGCAGGAAACGGCCCCTACCCTTCAGCTGCAACCTCTTCTGTGCAAGATGCCAGACTTGTTAGTAGTGAGAGATGAGTCAAAGAAAGTCAGCTTTCCTGTCATTCCCCTTGTGGCAGTTGATTTTTTTTTTTTTTATTTAGGAATTGCTCACCTTTCCCTCCTTTGAGGGCCCACGTCACACGCCGGTGTTACTGTGATCCTTCCCTCTCTGTAACAATTGTGAATGTGTCAGAAACTGCTGGTGTGACTCAGATGCTCAGCCCAGGCAGCTTCACCCAGTCCCAGCAGCACAGCTCAGGGTTTCCCTGTGGTTCCCCCCAGTGACTGATTTGCCTCTCTCTCTTGCAGGACGTGGGGCTGCTGGAGATCCCTGCAGAGCTCGCAGCCCTCCTGCAGCTTGTTGAAGGTGAGAAATCCTCCCTCCTGCCCTCCCTCCCTTCCCTGCACTGTTTCATTTCCCTGTGTATTTCCTTCTTTATGGCAGTGTCAGTGTGTGTTTGTTCTACCTGCTGCCTGTCACCCAGGTTGGAGTTGATTTATGATCATTGCAGAACAAACATGATGAAGGCAAATGGCACCGTGAACATTGTTTCCCAGCACAATTGGGTGGGAAAGTACCTCGGGCCAAGGGGCAGAACACCAGAATAAAAATCAGTGTATTTGATCACTTTTCAGCTATTCTTTTGAACAGGGCTGATAGAACTGATGACGTGATGGTGCAGAACTCTTAGATCAAAGTTATGGGACAGCAAAATGCTCCCTGAACTCAGGTCTCTGGCAGACCTGAATATCTGGGGTGGGAGAACTTAAACCCACCTTTTATCTACTCAAAAACATTTAGGGCCACTGAAGGTCAAGAAGAGAAACCCGCAATTTTGGCAATTTCAAATAAATATTTTCGGGCTTGGTTAAAATTATTTCCTCAAAGTAGTTACTTCTTTTAAAACAGAAGGAAGGGGAAACAGCAAAACAACTTAGTGAGGCAACAGCGTGACAACTTGGGATGTAACAATGCAGTTCTGTTTCCTCTGTAACTCTTTGTGCAATGTGAATATTGAAGTTGCAAATAGGTTGAGGCAGGATTTGCCTCTTCCTTGTCACTGTAGTGTCAAACAAAATGCCAGTGGTGCCTCTGGCCCTCTGTGAGGTACAGGAAGGGATACAATCGGCCAGAAGAGCTGTGAGCTGGAGCAGCCTGTGCTGGATTCCCAAATAACTCACGCTTCATGGCACAGCCCTCTAGGGACTATCAGCTGGTCTAGTGAGCAGTGCAACCCAGGGGAGCTCAGGGAGCGCTGAAACTGCTGGAAATGAAAGCTGCTGGGATGTAAACAGGGAGGAGGAGGAGAGCATCCAGGGACACATTTGTTTGGAAAGAGGAATGCACAGGAGCTGTGCTGCACTGAGAAATCCCTTCACTTAGGAAGATGTTTGCTCCTCTCTTATCCATGATAACTCCCTCATCTTGAAGACCTCTCATGAACTTGCTGACTGAGCAGTTAACAGCAGGATCTCAGCATGAGCTCAGTGTTTCCTGCCTTGTAAATGCTGCAGAACAGAACTGAATCTCCACATGCTCCCTGCCCTCTCGGTGTTCCCTGGGGAAAAAGGTCTGAAAGATCAGAGCTGTAAAATCTCTTCCCTAAAGTGAGGCCTTGTGGTCTCAAAGATGTGAGGCTGTGCCTGCCTGGGGGTCTGAGGCAGCAGGGGTGGGCTGGGTGTCCCTGGAGCCAGAGGTGGGCTGAGGTGCAGGCTGGCCACGTGCGGCTGTGCAGGCTGGCCACGTGCGGCTGTGTGAGCCGTGTGTGTTCTGTCTCCCAACCTGCCACAACACCAGACCTCCTTCTCCTGCAGGTCGACACCGAGCACAGGCCAACCAGATAACCGAGGCATTGCCTCCAGAAGTCAAAGTCAAAGATGACCTTTCCCTCCCGCCCACCATCAACAGCTATCCCTTCTCCTCCTTCGTGAAGTCACACTTCCAGGTTGGGAACTCCTTTCCTGCCTCTTCATTGCTCCCCCACTGGGCAGACACAGCAGTTCCAGCAGCGCCAGGAGCAAACTCTGTTTCTGTCCCGTTGTTTCTCTGTAGAAGCCAGAATTCCCTGCCCTTGGTCAGCCTCTGCATCATCCCTTAACCCGTCTGGGTGCTGAACACCACGAGAGTGCACTCGAGATCAACAAACTGGTAAGAGACGTCGTTCTTGGCCTTGTTGAAGAACAGGTGGGCTTGGACAATATTGTGATGCCTTCACGCAACAAGTTACCGGTGGTGGATGCTGTTCTTATGATACAAGGCTGGAAAAACAGAATAAATTTCTCCTCCCAGGCCCTGCAGCAGCCTGGTAGTGATCACATGCAGCCCTCTGGGGTTGCTGTGTTCTTGGTGAGGCACAGACCAACCACAGACCACTGGGATCAGAGTGAATTATCTGGTGATGCAGCCTCAGAATTTGGCAGGACACAGAGGAATCAGGTTGCTGAGCCTTAGTTTCCTGATAGTCCAGATTCAGTAGCGATGACAATGTAAGGGAGGTCTGCCTTCTCAACCACTTACTCATCTGTCAGTCATAAAAAATGTGATTTAACCCACATCTTTTCCACGGTGTGGTTTATAGTAAATATATCGATTGCATCTCAGGCTCACGGTTGTGTCACTCAACAGGGGACAGTGAACTGTCATATAAAGACTGGAAAAGGGCAGGACTTTGTCATCAGGAAAACTGCACCTGGAACCACACCCCAACTGTTTGTGTTGTTGCAACTCTGTGGACGTGAAACAAACCTTTCTTTACATTTTTCTTAACAGTTGAAATATTTGAGAATAAAATGAAACTCCAGATGATGTCTAAGTAAATCTGGTAATCCTTTTGAGAATTACATAGAATTAAAATAAGCCCATTAAGAAAGTTAATACCTAAACCCAGTCTCTTGTTTTGTCCTCATGATCCCAATTATAGAAGAGCATAAGCTTCAATAAAATCTTGTGAACGGGATTGTGTTTAAGCAGAATACTATTGCTATTACTTTTCCTGGAGATCAAAGGCAATTTTTCTTCATTGCTAATGAAGTAGGGATTTACTACAAAGATTTCCATGAGAATTAAACAACCACCATCCCCTGTTTTTCTCATTGAATCTCTGACACTTAGTACCATTAACTGTTTCTAGAAGTGTTGCCACTCCTAAATGTTCTTTCCATGGCACATTTTAGAAATATTGTAATTAATGCTATGTTGAAGTGTAGCGGATGAAAGAAATTATTCTGCACCTGAGGGTGAGAAATAGAAAATACAAAAGCACTGAAGATATTGATATGCATAGCCAAGAAGCTGAATCATTGCTTCAGCGACTCTGTTGAGACACCACCTCTCATACTACGTGGTATAATATTAACTGTACCAAAGTCTTTTCAACAGTCAGTGGGCTCAGTAACAAACACCCTGTGGTAATTCAGTTGTGTATCTAAGCCCTGCCCAAAGAAGGGGAAGTATTTTGACCAAGACCAAATTCTGAGTCATAAATAAGAAGAGACTCAAAGTCACCCTGGCTTTTAGTCAGGGTTCAGTCTCTACAAACGTTGCCTCCCAAATTCCCCAGCACTTGGGTGGTGCACAAAAACATGAGAACAGACCCTGATCTGAGTTGTGCCTACTCTTAGGCTCCCAAGCACCCTGGTGTCCACAACCCAGGTTGTCGCCTTCCAACACAGTTTGGGATGGAGGATTAGATTACAGCTTGAGCTCTCTCTCTTTTTCCCCCCTGGACTGTTGTAGATTTTGCGGTTCATTGGTGACAAGAGCCTCCATGGCTGGCAGGAGGTGCTCCTGGGCAACTTCATCGCCGGCAGAGGTTTGAGTAACGCGGCTCTGCGCGACGAAATCTTCAGCCAGCTGGTTGCCCAGACATGGAAGAACCCAGACGTGGAGCACAGCCAGCGGGCCTGGGTCCTGATGGCAGCTTTGCTGAGCTGCTTTGTGCCTTCGCCAGCACTGGAGAAGCCCTTGCTGAAGTAAGGGGGAGAAGAGACCACCCCACGCCTGCTCTGGGGTTAAAGGGATGAGCAGAGTGCTAAATGGAGTTGCCTTTCCCCAGGTTGGTGTCAGACCATGGCTTGGAGGGCTACAACGCCGTCTGCCAGCGCAAGATCTTGACAGCGGCACAGCACACAGAGACGGGCTCTGCGTCCTCTCGGGCCTTCCCTCCCACTCAGCTGGAGTGGACAGCAAACCAGAGGAGAGGGAAGATGGTGCTGGATGTTCATACCTTTAATGGTAACTCGTGCTTCTGGCCCTCCTGCTGTTTTCTAGTCCCAAAGGGCTTTTTCAGTGCAATCAGCATTTGGAAAATAGTTTCTTCAGCTTAGTAAAGAGGGATCAGAACACTGATTGCTACTGGCTGGTGCAACCATGGGGATACAAGCATCTGAATCTAGACCCTAAACTGGTGAAATCTGGGCCTGCTGGGACCTTCTACTGAGGCTGAGGGATGAGATTCTTCTGGGCCCATCTCACAGAGGGCTGTTCTGGTTGTGCATCTCTCTGGCTCTGTTTTTCCTGTTTCCCATTACAGCACAGCCCATCAGCAGCAATTTATTGCAGGACTTTCTGCCTTTCTCCCTTCTCAAATATTGCCTTATGCAGCCCTTGCTCAGGAGTGTGTGAGACTTCCCAGCTGGGCTCTGCCCCCGTGGAGTGCAGAGGTTGCTTTGGGTCCTGTCAGGGAGGCTGTGGGGACTGACTTTCTTCTCTGTGCCAGAGGAGACGTTCTCAGCTGAGGTGGAGTCCTGGATGACTGGGGAGCAGCTTGCAGCCTGGATTCTAAGTGCGAGGTACTGCCAGAGGATGGGAGAAGGTCTGGGGGTGTGAAAGAGGCTGTCACTGGTTCTAAGGTTCAGACTGGTTGGGGCTGCAGGCTGGAATTTATGTGGAATAGTCACTCCTTACCCACTCCACCTTGTGCTCTCTCCTTCGCCCTCCATCTGTGTGCACACACTGTGGGCTTCTTTAGGAACAGAGGAATCACTGTCATGATCTCTTAGAGCAGCTTCTTTAAAAATGAAAAGAAAAAAACCCCAAACCAACCAAAAGAGAACAAATCTTGAATTATTCTTGTTGTGGTTTGTTTTATTTTTTTACTTCTCCCCTGACCCTGGGCACTTAATAGTTGGTTCACACCATAAATCTAAAGGAGTCAAGCCAGGATAGACAAAGCAAGAAGAAACTGAATGCAATCTTTTCCTTCTTCTCCCTCTCCTCTGCCTACTTCGACATCTTTCCTCTCCTTTCCCTTTGACCAGGGGCTGTGATAAGAAGACTCGAGGGTGGTCTGTCTCCATGTTAACTGGCAACACATGGCAGGACCTGCTGGGCTGTGACTTTGTGCTGGACCTCATTGGAGAGATGGAGGAGACCAGCAACTTCAGCAGCTCTTCCCAGTCCCCAGCTGAGTTCCCCATCACTTCAGAAAGCGACAGGAGCACCTACCAGTTCTCTGACCTGGATTCGTAAGTCACCTGTTCCTCCTGCCCCACCGCTTGTGGCCCTGTCACCCAGTGGTTCATCTTTCTGGTCCTCATGTCATTTTCCCCTTCAACAGGATCCCTCCTGCTCCAGGCATCCAGGCCCCTGCCTTCCCACCCCCTAGCCTGCCTCCAGAATTCATGGATTTCTATCCAGGTAACCTTTAGCCCAGGACTGTGGATGACTCTGGGAAGGGCCAGATGGGCCCCAGCAAGGGAATCAAAGCAGAGGGGGAGTCAGGAGATTCTTGTTGATGGAGAGCAGGGAAGGGCTACACTCCAAAACGTGACTGTCTAACATGGACCGGAGGCAGGGGAATGTTTCTTACCTTCCTTGCTCACCAGACTTCTCTCTGCTCCTAGATCCAAGGATTAGAGATGACCTGGGGACCCCTGTAGGCCTGGATCACTATGTGGATGATCTTTTCAGCCCTGTGCTGCATCAGGGCTCCAGACTACCAGTAAGTCCCCTGATGTTCCCTCCTACTTTCCCTCTGCAGCTTTCCTGTCCCTGTGACTCCCTCCAGCATTTCTCTGCCTATTCACTCCCTCTGCTCAGCTCAGACTTGCCTCAGGATGTCTCTCCCTCCCTGAGCTCTGTTTTTTCTTGATGCAGGATTTGGAGAACAGGGACGTTCTCACTGGACGCATGAAAGGAGGTGGGAAGATTGGACCCACAGGGAGAGGAATCCTTCCTTCTGCAGGTGTGTAAGGGGATGGGGACAGCTGGGAACACCTATGGGGCTACATGAGCTTCAGTGAACACAAGCCGGGGAGCCCCTTAAATGCTAATAATTCATGGACCCAGCTGGTTCATGAACAGCACTGGTCTTTAGTGCAGGTCATCAGAAGTTGCACTCCTCACTTGCAGGTGCTGGGAGCCAGATGCTTGGGGGAAGGTGTTAGGCAAGGGAACCACCTTTGTTCTGCTTTTAATTTCTTGAGTTGGTCTGGGGGTCAAGGCAGCAGGTGGCTTGTTTCTGACCCAGGCCACCTCTTCCCCAGGCAAATGCTTGTAGGTTGTGTATTCACCTTCTATTCGCCTTGTGCTTTCACGAAATAGCTGGTTTCTTTATCAGGGGAGCGTTTTAATCTTTCTTATTGCTTCCCTACAGAATTTCCCATCATCTGTAGCTATTCCCTGGGTTAGTAAGTGTGAACCCTGCAGAGGTTCTGATGTGTGTGTTTGGTTTCTTTACTTTTCCTCATTTCTGTGGAGCCAAGACTCAGGCATTTTCACCAGGGCAGAGTCAAACACCAACATATTAATGGCACTGAGAAATCTGCATGGGTGGGAACACACCCAGCAGTTTCAGACAGGTGGGAACATCCAGTTCAGTCATTACTGAGACTGGGGCTATTTTTGGCTATTGAAGAGGCTCTGGGGCCTGACAAGACTATTACAGATCACTTGCCTGAGGTCAGTTTGCCATTTACGTGGCTATTTAGATGAGTGAGGGATGAGATGATCTTCCTATGGCATCCCAGGGCCGTTCTCACTGGAGAGGACATGATTCAGCAGACCTGTGCTGTGTGCTGACTCCCTCCTGGCTGCCCCTTGCTCTGCTGCCTTTTCCCTCAGTGGGATTTGTTTTGTGGCCCCATATGGGACTTGCCTGCTGAGAGAAGAGGAATTCCTTTCTCCCCACAACACACAATGCCATCCAGGCCAGGACTTGTCATTCACCCACCCTTGCTGCAAAGAGACCAATATGGATGTGACGGTCCCAGAGATCTTTGCTCATCCCTCAAGAAAAACCCTCCTGTGTAATTGTACACAGGCAGGAATTATTCACACGTTTAATCATGAAGGATGGTGGTGTCCTAAGCCAGGCTGCAGAAGCAGGGTCTGGATGCTGCTGTTCAAAGTCTGTCAGGCCACCCACTGTTCTTAGGCTTTCTTTTCCCACCTGAGCTTTGCTGTGTCCTGCTGTGGCTGCTGCATGTGGAGAGCCCCAGAGGTGACTGTGTTCAGTGGGAGTGCTCGGGGCCTGACTCCCCAAAAGCTCTGTGCCGCATGGTCTTTTGCCTCTAGGCTTCCCTGGAATGGCTCAAGCACCAGTTTACCAGCCCATGCCTTCCATGATGGGGGTGCCAGCAGCCATGCCCATGGTGCCAGGGGCTGGTGGGATCGCACCCGTGCCAGGTAACAGCAGTGTTTGGGTGGCTATAGAGGGAAGGGATGGAAAGGGGGTGTCAGTGGGGCCTGAGGATTTCAGGGAGGCTCAGTGAACACTCCCCTCCTGGCTGATGCTCAAACACTGTGGGGAGCAATCCCCCGTGGGCTCTTGCAGATGTGTGTGTGTGTCCTCCACAGCCATGGTTATGCCCCCACCCGTGGTTCCGGCTGTGGATCCCAACCAGCTGGCAGCACAGCAGCAAGCCTTTATCAACCAGCAAGCCATGCTCATGGTGAGTGGGAGGGACTGGCTGGGAGGGGCCCAGGAACTGGGGGGAGAACAACACAGTGGTGAGTGTGCCATGGAGAGGGAGCCCTGCTCCCCTCTTGCCCTGTGACACTGTGCCTGGGTGCTGGGGGTGAGCTCTGTAAAGCTGGGATTACTTAAGACTGCAAAACTGCCCCTTTGTTCCCATGGGGCCACTGAGGCACCACTGGTAGCAGGGACAAGAGCAGGCCCTGAGAAGATTCAGCAGTAACTCCCATGAGATTTACCACAGATGCAGATCTGCAGAGTTCTGCTCTCTATACAAAGCTCTGTAAGTGCATGGTGGTTCCAGGTTATCTGGTCGCTGAATTTTGGAGAAGTGTTATGAGCTCTGCATCCCTGGCTAGGTGGGGGCACACTCCCCATCCATTCCCCTGGGAAATCTGCAGTGCACTATGGAGATGTTCTGTCATTACCGAGCAAAAGAATGGGACAGTCTGACTGATGGCTGGTGGTTTTGTGCAGCCTGGAGCTCATGGACATTGTAATTCCTTCCTCCAGGCCCAGCAGATGACCCTTCAGGCCATGAGCATTTCCCAGCAACAGCAGCAGCAGCTGCAAAAGTCTCTTGAGAAGTCCAGGCCGAGAGTCTCAAGTCCGCTACAAGCCCGAGCCCCAGCCACTCCCCCAAAACCCAAGAAGCCTTCCACAAGCCAGGATGCTGCACCACCACCAGAGTCTTCAGAACCACCAGCTAAGGCATGAGAAACAAACAGTGGTGGTGAACTTGGTTTGAATTTCTTGTTTGGTGTTCGCTTTGCTTCCCTCCCGCCATGGTTTGGTGGAGAGGAGAGCAGAGAGCTGTGCTTACCAGTGATTCTGAGGCCTCTCAAACTCTGCTTGCTGAGTCTTTAAGGCACAGCGTCAAACCTTGGTGGCATTTGCTCTGTGGAGGTTGGGCTGCAGTGCTGGGCAATTAATTTCCAGCTGAGCAGAGTTTTTCCACAGGAAAATTAATTACTCTGAGATCTTTATCTTCCAACAAGCTGCTTTGGTCCTCTAACATAATCCCTCTTCTCCAGGTTTGATTGATGATTCCTTGTGTATAAAACTGATCTTTTGGGTCACTCCCAGATGGGGACAAGTTCTAGGTCAGAACTTGGAGAGAGGATCACCTCTGAACTGAAGGGCACTGGGGAGGTTCCTTCCTGCTGGTTAGTGCCAGCTAACCACGTTGTGCACTGCCTGCAGGGTAATGACTACACACAAGACGAGTTCTCCAGCAGTGAAGATGAAGACTCTCCTCGGGAAACCTTCCAGCAGAAGAGACAATACTTCCAGAAGATGGGTGAGCATCTACCACTTTGGGAATTTCACTCATCATAAGGCCTTGCTCTGCAGCCTCCCTGGCAGAACAAGATGTTCTTGGCTCCCTGTCTGAAACCAGCCATGCCCGGCAGGAGCTGCTGGCACTGTGTGTGTGTGTGTGTGTAACAGGAGTTTCGGGTGCTTGTTCAGCTGGCTACAGTTCATATAGTGAGGTATTGTGGGGACAGTCTGCTGGAAATCTCTGGGTTTGTGACTGCCACACTCTCCTTCACCTCTAGAAAATACAGGTTTCTGCTGACTGAGGCAAGAGTGGGAACTGTGCCACCAGGGCTAGATTTTGAGGGTGGTATTAAGTAGCTCAAGTCCCCCTTTCTATGCAGGAGAGCAGCATATCCGAGTGAAGAAAGTCAGGCCTCCTACCAAAACCTGGACTCCACCAGCAAAGCCCCAGCCAGAGCAGAAGGAGGAGAAAAAAGAGGAGCAGAAGGTGAAAGAAGTGAAGCCTGACCCCAAACCAGAGGCAGGTAAGATGCTGTGCAATGGAGACCCAGGCAGGCTGACCAGCAGGAACTTTCCAGGAACATCAGGCCAGGATATAGGCAGAGGAGGAAAGGATCTGGCTCTTCTGGGAGTCTGCATCTTGTCAGGAGAGGAGAGAGAGGAATTCCTGAGCTTTGGGAAGTGAGATCCAAAAGCAAGGCAGTGGAAGGTCATGGCCAGTCAGTCTCGGGGTGAAAGGGAGGGAACTTCAGATGAGACAAAGGGATTTCTCCTGTGCCTTTGCTGGTCTGTTGGTTAAAACTGTCACCCCCAACAGCTCCTGCTGCCCCCGTGCCATCTGCTGAGCCAAAGCCAATAAAGCAGACACCAAAAGTGAAGAAGGAGCCACCTGTAGTGAAGCCTTCAGGCCCTGAGTCGCGTCCTGCGCCGAGCCGCGAGATCGGCAACATCATCAAAATGTACCAGAGCCGACCGGCCCCGGAGCCCCAGCCCATCGAGCCCGTGAGGTGAGAGAGGGACCCACCACTGGGCAGGGAGGGGATGAGTGGGACTGTCTCAGCACTGCCACGTGCTCCATCGTGGCCACAACCCCTCTGCAGCCTCTGTAACACCTTTCCCCATTTCCTTGCAGGAAAGTGCCCAAGCCCTTTATAAAGAAGAATGACCCCAAAAATGAGGCTCTGGCCAAGCTGGGAATGATGAACCCCTCGTCTCGCCCATCAGTGAGTTCTTTGCTCTCTGGTCACCTTAAGAGCTCAGGAGAGAGAGCCTGTATATCCCAACTCCAACAGGCTGGGAGCTCCCTGGTTGTGCAGTCACAGCCAGGTGATTTCTTGTTGGGTTAACAGATAGCTGGGAGTTCATACCATGGTGCTGCCCATCCTAAACTGGGTTCCTGAAGAACTTGAGATCCTGAAGGAAAGGCTCTGGAGCAGCAAGTCCTATTGTGGACTATATTTAAGGCTGATCTGGAAGCAAGTAATTCATTCTTCACATTTGGCATCAAGGCCCTAGCCCATTAACATCCTTTTTCCCCTTCCTGGGGAAGGGAACTGGAGACTTCAATCTCAACTACTTGGTTCTCTGGGTTTGGCTGGTCTTCATCTCTTTGTAGCCTGTGTGTTGATTTAAAGGTCCTGGTGTCCCTGTTCACACAGATCTTGCTTCCAGGGATGGAGTGCTGATGATTTATAACAGCAGTGTCAGGACACAGCACAGGAATGCAGAGACAGGCTGGGTCAAATGGTTTTGCTGTCTTGCAGCCATCTCCTGCACCACAAGAGAAGAAAATACCTCCACCTCTCAAGCCCAAGCCAGGCTCAGCTTCCAGCTCTATCAAGGAGAAGCAGTTGCCTCTCCTGTCCATCTTCAGGCCAGATGATACCCCACCAGCATCTGAGAGCTCTCCTGCTCCCCCTGCTCCCCCAGCACTGCCTTCACCTCTAAAGCCTGAGGACCAAGACAGGCAGCAATCCACAGGGAAGGGTGAGTATTGACTTTACCTTTGTGGGATTTGGTAGCAGGGCAGAGAGGGGATGGGGTTGGAATCAGCCCAGCGGCCCTGGAGAGTCTTGGCACGTGTTCTGTCATCAGTCAGCTGTGTGAAACCAGGGGGATTGTGCAATCAGATCTGTGTGGAATCAGAGAGATGTCACAGTTCCAGTCTGGCCCAGGAATCAGCTTGGCACTTCCCTGCAATAACTCTTCCCTTCTGAAAAATACAGCTAAAAATAGAAAGATCCTTCGGGCTTTGTCACGGTCCAGTCCACAATACTTTTTATTGCCTACCTAAAGCATAACTTCTTTATCAAAGTAGCAATTAAGGGATGGACTTTAGACCAGGGAGGAATGAAAGCCAGGTGTTTCATCTGAAACTCTGGAGGGACCTTAAAGAGGCTGAGGAATGAGGGAATGTTTCTCAGAGAATGAGAGCCTGAGAGACCTTGGACTTGGCCACATAAAGAGTATTTGGATGTTGCCCTCTTAAAAAAAGCACAGCTAATGCTTCTCAGCAGGAGTTTTGAAGTGTTATTCAGCCTTAGTTTTGCCTCTGAATTTGAGTGGAAGTCTGGAGCCACAATTCATTTAATACTTTGGATACCTGTACCAAAGTGTTTCAAGCTGTTTAAAACTCTCATCAACATTCCCTTTTGTAACATGCAAGGAACAGTCAGCCACACACATTACTGAAGGACTCCATCCTGCAGCAGCTTCTCTGGTACTAAAGATTTTCCCTGTTTACTCCCTCTCTCTTTAAAAGACTGTTTCTTCAGCAAGTCCTGTGAAAGTAAATTGAAATAACTGGATTAGCCTGAAAAATCCCTGCGTGCCTTTGCACAGGGACATAGAAACAGCTGAATTGTGGGATTTACTACATTTCTTCTCTAAGAGCTCTGAAGTTTTGAAAGTTTGAAGTGCTTAAATGAAGACATTCCTACCTCATAAAGCAACAACTTTGAACAGTTGCCTTCAGACTGAGCCTGCCTTTGATAGATCTGCAGTAGGACAACCCAGTGCTAGTACTGGAAGCCTTGTACCAGAACCTTGCAGCCTGCAAGCTCAGGGGAGAACTTCTATGTCCCTCTGAAACCTGTAGCAGCTTTTTTATAGTGACGTGAAGTGAAACCTGTGCCTTCAACCTCAAGCACAGGGGTGCTGTTTTTCCTGGGAAGCTGAGTGCTCCCTGCCTCTGGAGTGTTTATGTTATGAACACTGAACTTTGTGGCTAACACAGGAAGTGTAAATGCTGTCAGAACTGCTGATAATGACTGGTTTGTGCTCACACCAGCTGGTCATTGACCTTCAGGAGGGTCCCTGACAGTAATATTCAATCAGGCAGCAGGCACTGTCCCCTTTCTCCTGGCAGGCCTTTGGCAGGTGGAACGGTGACCCTGCAGCCTTCAAGGCCCATTTTCACTGCTCTTTGTCCTCACACAGACTCTGCTGTAACAGTAGCAGATGATGATGGCATCAAGACCCAGCTGTACAAGCTCACCACCAGCGTCAGCTTCTCCTATGCAGACCCTGCCTGGAAAATCTTCCTGCGCAAAGAGGTGCAGTTCAGGAGCCGAGGGCTGGCTGGGGAGGGAGGGAACTTGTCCCACCTTTGGTTAGAGTGTGTTTTTTGTAGGCACCCAATGTAAGACAAGAGCACAAAGATAGTTCTCTGAGGAGGTCACAGACACTGGAGTTGGGGGCAGGGGATCATGTCATGGGGGATCTGGGTCCTGCTCAGCCTTACTGACACTTGTGTCTCAGTTTCCCTACCTGACCTTTCCTCCTCTGTAGAGCACTGAGAAATCTAAAACTAAACTTGGTTGTTATCTGGTGTTTTCCTGTTAAATTAGTATGAACATGTTTAAAATCAAGTATTCGAGAGTACACTGAACTCTCCAGGGTTCATCCCTTGGTCTCACCGCTCAGGTTTTGGTCCTCTGCTCCTGGTCCTTCTTTTCACATTCACGGTGTCTCTTCCCTTGCCTGTCCTCACTCCTCTCTGGCAACAGGGCATATGAATTGCAAAACATCCCTGGGGAGCTATTTCTGCAATCTTTGTAACACCCCTGTTGTTTTTATCCTCCTCTTGCAGGTGTTTTACCCCAAAGAAAATTTCAGCCACCCTTACTGCCTGAACTTGCTGTGTGAACAGGTATGCACCTGCGTGAACAGGTTTGGCTCAAGGATTGTTGTCTCTCTGGGGGCAAAACACTCCATAATTACATTGAATAAGTTGCCTTCACTTCTCCATCCCAAACAATGTTAGTCTCTTCTCCAGGTCCATCCAGTCAAGCCCCTGTTCACTCCTCTCAGAGTCTCAGTCTGTTTAACAGCCTCAGATGCTCTAACAGATGCTCTAAAGTCAGATGTGGCCTTTGCAATGGAAGCCTCTCTGTTCCCTTCCTCTGCAGATCATCCGTGACACCTTCTCCAACTCCTGCTTTCGGATCTCCAAGGAGGAGAAGCGCAAGATGAAAGACCTGCTGAGTAATTACAGCCCCATCATCCCTTCCTCCCTGTGCCCATCACAGCTTTTGGTTTGAGATGACAAACTGGCCTCCAAGCCCTTTCAGACAGGACTCCTCAGACAGAGGAGCAGTGTTTGTCACTGCAGCAGGAAAGCACATTTGTGTGTGCTGTGGAGTGCAGTGTAGGAATGTTTGTTTATTCCAAATGGCCAGAAAGTGGCCCTGACATTTCTCTGAGCCAGAAAAGCTCAGTTCTGAAATGTTTATTGTGGGGAGAGGAAACTGAAACCCAAGGATGGGATTTTGAGTTGTCTCAAAATCCGACTGACATCTTTGACTGCAGCTTCCTGAAGAAGGGGCGGGAAAGCAGTGGTAGACTGGTGTGTGCAAGTAACGTGGTGTCCTCTCACCTCTGCATGTCATTTTCTGTGCTGTGAACACCGAGGGGGGCTGGTGGGAGTGAGTTCCTGGGCAGAGGGAGTCTCAGCCATCTTTGCCATGCCGATCAAATATCTGCTTTGTAACCCTGCCAGCGGAGTTCCGGGTCAGCAACGATGTCCAGTCCATTAAGGAGGATGGAATAAAGAAGAGGATTGTACTGGCTGCTCGGGATAACTGGGCCAATTATTTCTCCCGCCTCTTCCCTGTTCGTGTGAGTCCTAATTTTCTCACTAGACCCAGGGTTTGCTTTACCTGTGGCTCCAGTTCACCTGGGATCTCTTTCTGTCTCCCTGCCTGGCCACACATCGCTCCTTCTTCTGCACCTTCCATACCTCGCAGGGTCTGACACCTCTGTCAGCCCAGGGCCTCCTTGTGTGGCATCTCCTTCCCCTGCTGCCACCGGGCCAGGTGGGATGGAGCCTTTGATACTCTCTGCTGCGCTTCCCTCGCAGGGTGAAGAGGGAAGTGATGTGCAGGTCCTGGGTGTTTCTCACCGGGGCATTCGGCTGCTGAAGGTGGAGAAAGCAGCCGGGTACAATCCTGAGCACCTCAAGATTCTTCGCAGCTACTGGTGAGCAGAAGGGCACTGGTTGCTGCAGGTGGTTGGGAGGCAAACTGAACGTCTGAGCTGAAGATTCCCAATTGTGCTGTGCTCTCTAGGACTGTCCTAGGCCAGCCATGACTCACTGACCCTCCTTCTAATGAGTTTGGCTTTTCCTTTTCCTTCCTACCTTGTGCTTTGCCTACAAGTGAGTGCTGGGGGTGAGTCAGCTCCACGTGTGTCATCACAGGGAGCTCCTCAGGGTGCTAGGGTGAAAGCCATGAGCAGCCTGTGGTGCTATTAATGTTGGAACACAGTGCTGGTGAAAGGCCACCATGTTGAGGCATGTCTCCGTTCCCAGTCCTTGGAATGAGCTCCCATCCCCACGTTCTGCACCCCTGGCTCTGGCAGAAGGAGCCTGAGCACACTGGTTTGTGTTCTCAGCTTTGCAGATGTGCTGTCAGTGGAGCTGAAGGGCAGCAGTGCCCTGGAGTTCTCCCTGAAGACAGAGCAGCTCTTCCTGCACTCTCTGAAGGCTCCATGCATCAAGGCCATGGTGGAACTCTTCATGCAGGAGCTGAGGCAGGTGAGGGAGCAGCTGCAGTGCAGTAGGGAATGAAGGTGGTTTCCCACGTGGACCTGAGAGTGTCCAAGGGATGACACGAGTCCTTCACTTCCTTGGGACAAGACCTGACCTCCCCATTGCCTTCCCCAGGACACCAACTACGTTGTTGCTCTGCGCAGCTACGTCGTGGACGACAAGAGCCTCCTCAGCTTCAGGAAGGGAGACCTCATTGAGCTGCTGCCCATGAAAGGCGTGGAGCCAGGTGAGGGGCTGAGATTGGCAGGATCAAGGGCCTGCTGGATCTGTAGTGCCCAGAACCAGAGCAGTACAGACTCTTAAGGGCAGGCTGGCATAAAGAGCCCCTGCCTGCGACCCACCTTGTTCCAGCTGCCTTAGTTCCAGGGGTATAAATGTTACCTTAGGATGCAGGAAACCCTGGTGAGTCTGACGGTCTCCTTTGCCAGTAGGAAGCTTCAGTGCCCGTTCCTCTTGGCAGCTGCCATGGTTCCTGACCCTTTGGCCCCTGTTTCTGCAGGCTGGCAGTTTGGCTGCACTGGTGGTCGCTGTGGTCTCTTCCCCACCAACCTGGTGCAGTTGGCTGCAGCCCCTGATTACCTCAGCATCAGCATGGACAGACATGGAGAGCTACGGAAGAGAAGGAAATCTTCCCCACAGAGCAGGAACACCAGCAGGGAGGTGAGCTGTCCTTGGGAGGCATCTAGGGGTTATGGCTGGGTTCTGTGGGAGCTCCAAGGCCAGAGGGAAGATGATGATTGTTTAATCCTCTGAGACAGAGACACTGTGTGGGGAGGCACCACACACAGGTGGAGTCTGGTAGGTGAGAACACACTGCAGTTCCTCAGCTGACTTTTTAGGGTGTGTTTTGTGGTGTCCCTGCAGAGTTCTGTTCCCAGCCTGACATCAGAACCCGACAGCACCATGTTAATCCCTGCTGGTGATCGCTATACCATGACTGACTTCGCCACAGCCTATTTCCGGGAGGCTCAGTCCATGTGAGTAGGCTGTGGTCCTTCCCAAACAGGCACATGCAGGGCCAGCACAGCCTGACACACACCAGGCTGTTTCTGGGGGTGTTTCTTGCACTGTATGTTCCCTCTCCTCTGTCTAGGCAGGGACTGCAGGGAATGTCTGCTGAAAAGAAGAGCATAGCTGGCCTGGTCCGGCACACCAAGGTGAGCCCAGCCTCTCCCCGTGGGTACAGCCAGAATCCCAGCTCCGGCATTGCCTCTAGCTTTGTCCCCAGAGGGCAGATTCTTGGCTTGCAGTCTCTGGAGAAGTGTAGGTGTCCCCTACTTTTCAGTGCTGCCTGCGAGATTCTGGGAGCTTGAGTCCTCGGTGAAACCTGCAGATCTCTGTGGGATCCACCTCCCCAGCTCATCCTTGTTCTCTGGCCCTGCAGGTCCCAATCCAGGAGTCTTTGCTCCTGTACTCTGACAGTGAGCTGAATGAGCTGGCTACAAAGAACTTCCAGAGTAAGTACCTCGCTGGGACATAGCGCTGCAGAGGCTGGGGGGGGTGAGTGGGATGCTGTGGTGGGCACACACAGCCATTGTGGGACTGAGTGGGGAATGAAACCTGTGTGGGGAGGGCCCCTCCTCAGGCACTTCTGCAGTTAATAACCACCTGTGTCCTTGTTGGGAGCATCCAGCAAGATGTACTTTGCCTGGAGTGCAAAGTGCCCAAGAACACACCCTGCCTGGGCTGTGGGCAGACTACACCTGTCCAAGGCACAGCTTGGAACAGGAAAGCTTTCAGGACAGTTTTTAGCTCTCTGCCAGCCCCATGGCAGGACCACCCCTGCTCAGACCTCAATGTCAGCCTTTGCCCTGCAGCGCTGATGCGGCTCATGGGGGATCAGTCCAAGCACAAGGACCAGACTGAGGTTGAATGCACCTACGAAATCCTTAAGGTTTGTGACCTTTCCCCGGGCAGAGTGCTGAAGCATCAGCGGGAACAGAGGGACAAGACCCTGCTGGGAAGGGAGAGCCAAAATGGAACTCCTGCATGAGAAAGGGAGCTGAAAGAGACTCATCTGAAAACATGGAGGGGAGGGGCCCCATGTAAATGGTTTTCCTGGATATCACTATCTGGATGAGAGCATAACCTCGCTCTCCTCTCTCCTTCTTTGGGTCTAGATAGCACTGGGGACCAGAGGCTGAAAATCTTGAGCTTTAAGCCAAATTGGCAGAGCTCTGGAGCTGGAAGAGGAAGGGCACAGAGGTGACCTGGGGGCCTCTCTGATGCTCTCATCCCCTCTCTGATGTTGTTTTCTCCTTTCTGAATGCAGCTGTGCAAGGAGAAGGAGCATTTGCACGATGAGGTTTACTGCCAAGTCATCAAACAGGTCACCCACAACCCTAACCAGTGAGTACCAGCACTGGCAGCTCCTGTGCATGCACAGCTGGAGAGGAGCCATCTGCTTCAGGGACACCAGGGCCAGCAGAGAGGGTGTCCCCTGATGCTGTGCTGTCCCCAGCGCTCCAATGCTGAGGCTTTTGCTGAGCACTCAGGAAATGTAGCCGGTCACTGGGGCTGACATTGTCATTTCAGTGGACACTTGTCCTTGTTTTTCTGGCTGCTGATATATCTGGGTCCCAGTAAACATCCCTGGTAGCTCCTGGTAGTGGTTTTGCTCAGAGCCCTGATTTCCTCCTCACAGACCTGGGGAACTGATACAACAGTCAGGGACTGGCTTAACCCCACACTGCCCTGTGAAATGGCAGCAGTGGCATCAGAGTAGCCTTGACTGTTCTCTTTATTTGCTCTGCCATAGGTATTCAGAAGGGCAGAGGCTCAGCCTGAGCTGCTAGGAGCAGGAATTGTCTTGTCCCAGGGTGGCCACAGTCCTTTCTGTTCCACAGGCAGAGCATGCTGCGTGGCTGGTTGGTCCTGAATCTGCTAACTGGATACTTCCTCCCTACTAAAACCCTGATGCCCTATGCCACCAAGTTCCTGCAGCTAGCCAGCAGTGATCCATCCAGCACCCACCATGGTACGACTGTAAAAGCAAACATGCTAGTTCTAATTCTTCCCATCCTGTCATTCCTCTGCTCTCCTGCTGTCCTGGGTGCTGTCTGTGCCCGGCTCCTCACGATTTGGATGTGTCCTGGCAGAGTGGGAGTTGAGGTCTTTGCTCTCCTAGCAGTGACCAAGGGTTAAATTTGACACAGCCAGGATGACCCAACACCACAGGCACAATGTTTAGTTCTCTGTCTGGCTCAGCACATGGAGCTTTCCCCTTTTCCTGCAGATATAGCCAAGGTCTGTCAGAGCAACCTGCGGAAAACCTTCATGTACGGGGGCCGCCGAAACCTTCCCTTCCCTGTGGAGATGGAGGCACTGCTGGTACTGAGGGATGGGGAAATGGGGGTGCTGGGAACAGGGGGAGGGCAGAGGGTTGCCATGAGATGCCATGTGGGTGTGGCAGGGGCAGTCAGTGCTCCATGAGAGGAAATGAATCATGTGGATGTAAGGGGTTTGGGAAGTGCAATGCCACGGAGTGAGCAGGAACATGGGCAGGTACAATGGAGAAGCAATGGAAGGCACAGATGAGGAAGAAGAGGGAGAAACAATTGTGGGGCTGGTGGGATTCCTGCATGTCTCGCTGCCTAAAGACTGTCCCTTGCAGAAGGGGCACGGTGCCCGCCGGCTGGTGATACTGATGCCTGGAGGCATGGAATACGTCACCAGGATCAAGACATTCACGGTGAGTTTCCAGCTGTGGCTTCCTTCTTTGGTCCAGACTCTGAACCACACCAGAGAAATCCCTTAGCTGCCAAGGGATAACGTGTCTACCTGCTCTGGGGCTGCTTTGGGCTTGCCTGGTCATGGTACCCATTTTCTTCTTTCCTTGCTTCAGGTGGCCAAGGAGCTCTTGCAGGAGATCTGTGAGCAGATGGGAGTTGGTGAACAGGAAGAGATACAGGACTTTTTTCTTTTTGCTATCAGGACTGACAACAAAAATCTTGGCAAGTAGAGACCAGCATCGAGTTTCTTCCTAACAGGGAGCACCCTGGCTCTGGCTTTGAATAGTTCCCCCACCCTTCCTGGCTCCTGGGAGGTTCCTCTTAAGCAGTTTCCCTCTGTATTAGGGTTAAGGATTGATCCTTCTCAGGGTCTGTGTTGCTTGTTCGTGGAAGAGGTGTGTGGGTCCGTGTCCCTTTGGAATGGTTGATGGTTGGAGTTCCAAGGGCAGGGTGGAACAGAGGTGTGCAGGAACCATTCCAGGCCGTGCTGCTCAGCCCACTGCCTCAGCACCAGGAGGGATGGATGACCCTCTCTCTGTGCAACATGCAGGTAGAATAGTGAAGCCAATAAAACCAGAGGAGTATCTCCATGATTACCTGCTGGAGGACAAGATGGTCACGGTGACTTTGCGCAGGCTCACCTGGAAGGCACCTCTGCACTTCGAGAACCAAATCTACACAGACGTCCACTATGGACAGGTAAGGACAGCAGGGCCCTCCCCAGGGCTCCCTGACAGGGGTAGGGATTGCGTTCAGGCCAGTGGGAATGTCCCAAGGGGGTTGAAAAAGCAGGAGGGCTTTGGCTGATCAGCTTTGTGTGGTGTTTCTGGGAATGACAGATGCATGGATGCACAGAAGGCAATGTGCCTGTGGGCCAAGCCTGGGAGCTGGGCTGTTCCACACGTGGTTTGTGCAGCTCCACAGGCTCTTCCTGAGCCCAGCCAGCCTTTGCTTTCGTGTTATCAGCCCGAGTGGGATGTGTTATCATCAGGAAGGCAGGATGTGGGTCTCTGCAGCCTGGCACTGCCCAGACCTGCCTGTACCTTCTGGCAAGATTAACAAAGGCCTCTTTGCTGTGCTGTCTCTCAGGTGCTGTGGGATTACCTGAATGGGAGGATGCTGCTGAGCCAGAGTAAAGAAATGGAGATGCAGGTGGGCCTTTTGGCAATGCTCCAGCACTGGGCCAAGCCAGAGCAGCAGAACTCGGCTCCCTCTGGGTATGTCTGGGTCAGGGTGGGTCTCTGCCTCTCTGATGTTGGCACCACAGGGGTTAGGAGCAGGTGCCTGGATAATTAAGGAATGGACAGTTCTGGAGTTATTTATTAATGTCATGCAGCAACTGACTCCTGTCCCCAGTCAAGATATTTATCCCCCTTCACACTCTTAATGCTGGCAATCTCTGCTCCACATTTCCTTCTGGGACTCCTCCTGAGCTGAGGGTCATGAGGGTGCCATGGGCATTTCATTTGACTGCCATGGGTTTGTAATACCAAAAAGAATTGCATGAGCTCATCGTTTGGGTGAATGCTCCTTTGCTCTTTCTCACAAGTGCCAGAGGTTTCAACCCTGGGCACCTGAAATCTCTGATGAGATGCCTCATTGGAATGAAACGGGAATAAAATTGTCCCTAGATACCAGAAAGCTTCTGTCCTGCAGTCCCAAGGTGTAAATTCACACTCTTTGCTTCCTGTATCCTTTGCACTTCATCTCAAGAGTTGAGGTTAATGTTTCCATCAGATCCCCTTAAAGCACCAGCAACAGAGAAAATGGCATAACCCTGCTGGGCACTGAAGAGCTCCTGTTGTCTCCAGAAAGGAGGGATTTCTCTCTGCTCAGTGGTGCACAGTTGATTTCTCTGTGGAAAATGCTGGTCTCACTGTCTCTGATGTTTCCTTCCACCTGATCCAGTGCAGATACAACCTGCTGTGCTTTTCCTCTCCCCCTTCACCCTTCCCTTCAGACATACAATTGAAAATTGCTGCCTCATCCCCTTTGCTGCCTTAATCCCCCAGCTGATGGTTGATTTTAGCTGGCAGGGGGTGAATTAGAATCTTCTTGTTGGCACAGGGAGGAGCTGAAGAAATGCACCCCCAAGACCCTGCAGCACTCCATCAGTTCCACGGCTCTGGAGAACCAGGTTGCCACATTGCTGAGGACAAGGCAGCCCCTCCAGCCACTGGATGCAAAAATCCAGTTCATAGGTGAGAAGACATCCAGATCTGCTTCAATTGTCCATCCTGAGCATGATGGAAGCTGCTCTGAACGCATTTTTGGGGACAGAAAAGAATGGCACATCCATTCAGGCTGCTGAGAATTGAGCATCAGCAGCCTGGTGGGGAGGGAGAAGTTGTCAGTCTTACTTTTTAATGTAGAAAAGCTTGGGAATTCTGGCAGTTTTGACCACCTTGGGCTGGTGTAGTAGATTGCTGGCTGGAAGCTGCTCCCTTCAGGCCACCTTTTGCTTTCTTACAGAGCATGTGATGAAGTTGCCCTTCTTTGGCTACACCATGTTCATGGTGGAGAGAGTCAGCGACAACAAGATCCCTGTGCCCTGTTTCCTTGGTGTGAATAAAGAGGAGATCATTGTGGTGAATGGCATCACCCAGGTAAGCCAGACAATTCCCCAGGGTGTCTATCAGGTATTAACTTTAACTTTCAGAAGAACCTGTGCAGGAAGATGCTGTAATTCTTTTTATCACAGCCACTCTAAGAAAGCAAGGGACAAGAGTGGTGGAACAGCCATTAGTGCCTGGGCAGTGTTCATGATAACAAGCAGAGTCCACAGTAACACTGTGTGTCACATTCCTGTTTGTCCCAGTCCCGTGGCAGTTCCAGGGCTGTTCTGCCAGCAGGAGCCTGCCCTGTGCCCCAGACCTTGCTCACCTTTCACTGGGATCTTGAGGTGACTCCTTCTCGTGGAGAATCAGATGGTTTAGTTTGTAAGGACTGCACCAGAGAGTGGTCTGTGGCTTTTCTCCCCCCCTCAGGCCGTGTCCCAGGTCATTCCCCTGAAGGAGGTGCAGAAGATGCGCACCCTGAAGCCCATGCTCAAAGATGGACTTCCCGGCTTGGAGCTGAACTTTGGATCACCTGCCACCCCCAAGACTTTGTGGGTTGAACTGCAACAGGTGAGATCAGCCTGGGCCTGCAGTTTCCTCTTGGCAACTCAGGAATTGCCCTCCACTGCCCAGCTGAGCCACTGCTGAGACAGTTCTCCTGCTCCAGAGGAGGAGGGAGGGGGGGTCACTGCATTTCCCAGGCTCCAACATGCAGCTTTGTTCCAGCACATACCTGATATTTATTTATGGAAGGTGATTTATGGGTGTTTTCTGGGCAAAAAATGACTGCTGCTGATTTGTGTTCTGACAGGCTAAAGAACTGTACCACATGCTTGTCGTCATCCTGGACAAAACAGAGCTCCACTCCTAGAGCCCAAAAGGAGGAGACTGACCAAGGAAAACAGCTGTGCCTCTCTTCCTTTGAACCTGATCAGTGCTCTCTGACCTGTCTTCTGGAGAGAACACTTCCAAAAGACAGCCATGACCTCAGACAGCTGCTTTCTAGGGCTGCCACCACAGTGTTTGTTGATGGACTGGACAATAATCTCACCCCTGGTGACCTGCCATTCAGTCCCCAAGTACTTCCTTGAAGCAATCCATGCTGTGGACTAACAAACCACAAGGCCCTCTCCACACCACAGTTCCAAAAAGGAGCAGCTGAACCAATGCAAGCACTTGCCTTCAAGCAATGCAGTGTGGAACTCCTCTTTTCTTATTTTTTTTTTTAATTAATTAACATTAGCAAAGCCTAGTGCTTGCTAGAGATTTGTGCATCCCAGTGCCCAGCTGAGGCTATGCAATGCCTGCACTGGCTGCTGGTGTTTTCCAGAGGCCAGTTTTGTCTCTGCATTGATATGCATAAGGCCCTGGAGCAGGACTGGTGAGGCAGGAGTTTATAGAAAGCACCTTAATTGAAAAGCAGATCAGTGTTAATAATACAATTAGCACATATGCTGGGGCATGGATCGAGCTGCAATGGTAAGAAAGTTTATTGTTAATTAATTTCTCACTGACATAATTACATGCATCTGCTTCCCTCTACTATAAAGGAGTCAGTCATGTCCACGCAGCTGTCAGGCTTCAGTGATGGCTCCATGCCCATGGAGGAAGAAGCATATTCAAACAGGACTTGTGTATTATAGTAGAGTGTTTTGGGTTGTACAAAAATGCCTAATTTATTTTTATTGCCCTTTAGGAAATTGCAATAAAGTAATCACAGATATGTTTTGAAGGTGTGGCGTGACAGATCTTGCATCTAACCCGGGAAAACTGACCTGAAGGTAACGGGCAAAGCTTGAGGAAAAAAGGCTGTCACTGTTGGCAGGGAAGGGGATGGATCTGAGGGTGCTCAATGCAAGACACGAGGCACAGCTGGATTGTTGCTGGTGAGCTGATTCCAGCAGGAACTGCAGCATCTTCCCAGTCAGGTACTTCCCTTCAAGTGCTGCTTAGTGGATCTTACACCAGTCTGTATGAGTGAGTGGTAAGAAAGAGCTTCCAGGAACAGTCCAGAGCAGCTATAACATTGTTTTATTGTCAGTTCTGCATATACTTCAGTACATGTAAAAAAATACATCTGTGGAGTACAGTGCTCCAAAAGCCTGATGGGTGGCCCCTCAGCAGCACGAGTGCCTGAGGCCCCCAGCCTCTGTGGGCATGGAACAAAGGCAGAACCCAATAAAAACCCAACAGGAAGGACTTGTGCCTGGGAATCAGGTGAGGTCCCATATAAACATAGCAGCAGAGACACCACAGTGTCAATTTGAGGGCCACAGCAGTACCTGAACCAGTTCTAAAAGCAGCATTGCCCTCTGTATTGCAGACTTTTGGTGAGGCACAGGGGGCAAATATGGCTTTAGGGGTTACAAGAAAATGCTGGAAAAAGTGCTGTTGAGGTTAATACTGAAAGAGCATCACCACTTACGTTAAAGGGCACACAGAACTAGACAAAGTTAAAAAAAAGTTCACATTAAAAGAACTCCAGTTTCTCCACCTTCAGAAAGTAGGTATTGCCTGCATGATGAGAGCAAACCACTCCCCTCCTGCCCTTTAAAGGAAAATATTCCAGCCAGGAACTCAACCATGGAGTTTGTCATTGGCAGCCCTGAGCAAAGCATAAGAACATGTAGCATAAGGCTTCTAATGGTAACACTGAAATAAGAACTAAGAGACAGGGAGTGAGGGGAGCAGCCATCTAGGAAGCAAGATGCCATCCTAAAGCAGAGTCCCAGTTGGAAAAGCAGCCCTTCCCAGACTGCTGCAGGGAGCAGAGGTGGAGACAGTGCAGAACATCTCAGGCAGCAGCCCCTAATGAATACAGCAGATGCAACTTCACACCTCTTGGTCCTCAAGGGCTTCAGTGCCCAGTTATTGGAGAAACTCTCTATAAGTTCGCAGAAACTGGTTTCCTGGAACTGTTTGTCACTAAGGACAGAAGTGAGCAAAAATGCAGTGGGAGGAAAAAAAAAAAATCTCACTTCTGCAGTCTCATGAAACCCTCCATGGCAGAGTTCTTCAAGATCCCCTGGTCACGCTGCTGGAGGAAGGAAGACAACCAACAGGATGCACAGATCAGCTCTCTCAGCTCTGCAGCTCCTGCCAGTCTGCCTCACTCTCACACCTGACCCTTGTTTTGAAAAACTCCCTGATGAGTCTCTGTGCTTCCTCCTTCACTGCAAGAGAGGAAACACCACCTTTGAGTCAATCCTTAAGACATCTGCCCCCACCAAAGACATCCCATCCCTTTGGCACTGAAAGAAGCCCAGGCTCTCCGAGCTCTCACCTGTCTTGCGGGCAGGGTTCTGCTCCTGAGTCAGTAAGTGAGACACGTGCCGGGCAAAGCCCTTAAACAGCTCCTGCAGAATTAGGGAAGACAAAGAGCAGAAAGCAGACATCAGTTCCCAGACTGTTTGCATGTTTGCCTTGCCCTCAGCACGGGCTGGCTGCAGCACAGACCATTCCCAGATTGAGGCTGCAGGAGTGTTGCACACCTGCAAACACACCGGCCCTGCAGTGCTGGCACACACAGCCTGCCTCGCAGGACACATCAAGGAAACGACACCAGAATTGGACCTGAGCTGTTGCTGCTCCACAGGTGGGAGTTAAAAGTGTGCCAGAGCTTAATGTGAAAACATGAATAACCATAAATAAGTGTGGAACCAACGTGACACCACTCCAAACACACACAAACCCTTTTGTGGGAGAGGTGAGTTCCTGCACCTGGAGTCACTGAAACAGCACATACCAATGCACAGCTTGGAAATGAAATGTGGTATCCAGATCATCTCCCCCTTCTTAGAGCCCCAGATTCACTATGAGCTGCAGTCTCCTCCTGCTAAAGAGGATCTTGAGCTGTGCCCTACCTTGGAAGCAAATTTGCCACCCTTGTAGAACGGGGTCAAATATTTGACAACGATGTCTGCAGTGTCTTTGAGGGACACGCCTTTGGTCACTGGCTGTAGGGTCTTGCTGGTTCCTTCTCTGTCACACTGTTCTAAGTTTGAATCAAAAGTCACCTTCTTCTTTGTTGGACCAGCACTTCTGCATTCTGGGTGGGACAGAATAGAAGATTTTGTCGCTGTCCGCAGCCGCTTTGTTGCAGGACTTTCCATATCCTGGAGAGGAGACAGGGAAAAAAATCAAACCCACCAATTCCTGGAGCAGTTTTTTCCACTTCCAAGCACCCACTACCTTCCAGGACAACAAATCTTCACAGCATCCTGCAGGCTCTCCCTACAGTGAATACAACATAGAATCTCTGTAACTCATTTTACTGTGCAGACATAATACACTATTTACCACACAAAGGGAGTTTGAGAAAAGCCCTTTAAGAACACCACACTTAGAATTACCCTGTGCTCTTATTAGGGCAGCTAAAGGCTACACCCTGTTGTATACAGCAAAAACTGACTGGAAATGATTTTTCAGGATCTCTGGTGAGAATACAACCCTCAGGAAGAATGAGCCATGTCAAGAGTGCCACATGCCTGCTCAGTTTGAAAGAGAGAAGATTGCACTGTTGCAGAGACAGCTGCCAGGCAGTCTCAGATACCAAATGCAGAAGCAGAGACTGAAGGGCAAGGCAGGCAGTGAGCACGGGTCACTTCCAAGTGGTCCCGTGTGTCACTGGCCTGTGGTTGTTCCCTGGACTTGAGAAAGCAGCTGCTAATTATAGTTCATTACAGATCTAGAGGGAGTGGAGAGACTCATTCCAGCCAAGTCACCAGCAAGGGCACAGTCACATGTGTTGCACACAGGAGGAAACAAAGCAGTGGAGGGGAAGCTCTGCACTGCAGCCCAAGGTGATGGCATGGCCCAGTGGGCAGCAGGGAAACACCAGGAATGCAGCACAACTGGGGTTCTCCTCTCTGGTGCAACTGCAGCTGGGCCCTCCCCAGATTATTAACACTCTCAGGTGGGGTTCAGAGCAGGAGCATCACTCTCAGAGAGACATCTGGCAGGAGTTGAGCAGAAGAAATAGAGGAAATTAGCACTCACTGAAGCCTTACCTCATCTGATCCTGCCCTCTTCCCACTCTCACCTTCCCCAACCACAGGCAGCTCAGTTTCTGAGACATTTTCAGCAACACTAGTGGGAAGAGTGGAGAGAAGGCCAGTTGTAATTATTCCACAGAGAAAAATATCCCTGCATTCACTGTTAGCGGCTATGAGACCCTCCATGGTAAAGCAGGAGTCTTCCTCACCCACCCAGAGATCTCACACAGATTCCCAGTTTCCAGGACAAGGCTGGTGGGACTCAGCAGCTTAACAGGGTAACACAGGGAGCAGAGAGATTGCGATTTTACCTGGACTTTACATCAATTTCTTCCCGAAGGAGTTCAGATTCAGCAGCCTGCTGGGTCTTAAAATCCTCCCCCTTCTCAGTCTGTGTTACTTCTGTTTCTCTCAGTTCTTTATTCTCTGTCTGGGACTGTCCAGTCAGATCTTCAGAGATATCTCTGCTTTCCTGAGGTGCTGGTTTCTCTTGACACGTGCTTTGAGAAGAAACCTGAGGTAGTGTGCTTGCAGAACAGCCCTCTTCTTTTGCTGAGCTGCAGCTTTTGGCTTTAGAGCCACCTTTGGAGAGGGAGAAGAATTTGGAAATATCCTGTGATTCTTTTTTAGCTGCTTCTGCGAGCATTTGCTGCTTCTTGCTAAGTTTGGGCTTCTTAGTGGGGCTCTCCCAAAGGGCAGCCTTTTTGTCTGGACTGGGTTGCTGTCCCTTCTTTTCAGGGTGTATTTCTACCACAGCACTCTCACACATTGCTTTGGTTGCTGTTTCTTTCCTCTGGACAACAGTGTTTCTGGTGTCCAGTTCCAGATTGCAGCTGCTGTTGTCTTGCCCATTTGGACAATCTACTTCTTTTCCGACAGGCTTTGCATCACTCTCCTCCTGGATCTTCAGCAGTTCTGAGGCTGTCTGGAACAAGTCGGATTTCTTTGGAAATCCTGTTCCCACCACACGCTTGGGTTTGAACTAGGAAGGAAGGAGGAAGAAGAAACTTTGGATGTGATATCCCTGTGTGCAGAACCCTGAAAGGAGTGAGGTTTCTGCATGCAATAGGTGAGGGAGGCTCTAAATCTGACTTATCATCACACCCACCAACTGAGACATGAGGGAAAGGGAATAGGTTAAATTCCCAGGCTGGTAGTAAGGAAACAGCCATTCTTGGTTAGAGCAAGATGAGAAAGAACTTATTTAACCTATGGCCTGCACATAGATAATGTTCACTAATAGCAACCAGCATGACAGGCAGACAGGGAAAAGCAATTACAATAGAAATATACAGCTATGACCATGGAAAGGATGTAAGATGAATTAATAAAAAAACAGAAAGACAAAACACACTATTCCCTCCTGTCTATCCCATCAGTACTCACTGAGTAAACCTGGGATGCAGGGAGGAAGTCCTCCTCTGCTGGAGAACCAGATTTTGTTTCCAAGCTGCTGTTGCCACCAGTTCCAGATCCAAAGACCGAGAACAACTCTCCTTGTTTCGAGGCTTTGTTGATTTCTGCTACCTGAAAAGAGAATGGAAATATCCTCCAATGGCCACAAATCTTTATGCATCCCTGCCTTTTTACACACGAAGAGCCACAGTGGCAAAACAAACACCTCCCCTGGAGAGGTGCCTGTCTCAAGAACAGAAACACCTTCAGAGAGACTGATGGCAATCAGGTACCCTAAACCAAGGCTTCTGTAGTGTCAGCAGCCTGGGGAACTCCC